ATAGGTTTAAAAAAAATCTGGCTCCTACTTTGTTTTTTGTTGCTTTCGTATTCCGTTTCTCGTATGAGGGACCAAATGTAATCACCCATCTTGGCTGCATCCCAGAAGCCATAAATACCATAGCCTTCATTTGCTGGTGAAAACGTTCTCCGTGCTCATCACTCGCCCAGATTGAGCGGGTTATTTACGCACTCGAACTCTCTACTTCTTTTACTCATTTTACACTTTTTATTAACTTAATATAACCATGATAAAAATACCTTGTTGAAATATCAAAAAATATTAGTAAAATGTCACGATGCCAACACGAGAAACAAAAGAATTCACGTTTGCGGTGTCATGACAAATTTAAATTTTGAATAATGTTTTCGGTAAAAAAAGTACCTACGTAAAAAACTCAAAAAATTCCAATCATGCACTTTATTTAGGTTTTCATTAAAGAATAAACATATTACAAAATAAAAGAAAAAAAAATTATCAAAAAGCTGAATCCACTAAAAAATTCACAACTTCGCCATTTTTCATGTATTTTTATCAACATTAGCTTGTTTTTTTTGTAAAAATGTCAGCTTCGCGAAGAAAAATTCAAACTGGAGTTATTTGTTTGATTTAAACCTTTCCCAGGACGAGATGTAAATTTTCGACCTCAATTTTTGCCATAAAAGCAAATTTTTTAAGTTATTAAAATTGCTAGCGTCAAAATACTTATCCGATATCAAAAGTATGTAAAAGAAAGTTTTAGAGGGCTCAAATACCTTCTTGTTTGACCAAATCGATCATCTAGATTTCAAGCTATACTCGAAAACGTCAAAATACCTCCGAAAATTGAAAAAAAAGCAATTGAAAATTCATTTTTTAAAAACGCTTCCATAAAAAAAATTTGAGTATGATTTTCGTATGATTTTGGGTATGGATATGGTGGGCAGAATTTTTTTTCGAATTTTTAAACTGGTGTAAGATATAAAGATGAGATATTTAGGTACTAAAAACTGAAAAATAGGTAACTAAAAAGGTACTAAAAAAGCATTTTAGGTTAAAAAAAACAGAATTTTAGGTAAAAAAAAAACATTAAAAGTTCAAGTTTCTTTTATTTTTATAAAATAAGTATCTAGCATAACATATTTTTTTTATAAACTGACCAATACTTAATTAAAGCTATAAGAAACTGAAAATATAACAGGGAATACCTGATATTTACCAAATTTACTACTAACAACAGATAGCTAAAATGTATATAAATTAAAGAAAGATGTTTTAACATAACCTCAAAGTATTTACAATTTTTTTATAATTTTGTTTAGCCGCATACCCAAACACAGAACATACCCACAATAAACTATTTCTATGCAATAAACTGTGTGACACTCACTACACAGAAGTTCTATGACAGAACATAAGCTCACTACAAAGAAGGTAACTGCAAAGAAAGTTACTGTTACAGTCTGTGACCATAAGAAAAATTTCTATACCGTTGAGTTGCACGCCCTGGATAAAATATTGGCGCAAAATTTAAAAAGAACACAAAAAATAAAACAAGTAAAAATACGTAAATATAGGTAAGAAATATATGAATATAAAATGACAAATTAAAAAATAGGTAACAAAAGTATAAAAAAGGTAGTTTAAAGCAAAAACCTCCAAAAAACGTAAAAAAGGTTAAAACAAGTTAGGTTCATATAAAAAAAAATCTTTTAAAACACATTTTTGCATTATTGGTTTTCAAATAGTTACATCGGTTAAAAAAAGGTAAAATAACTAAATTCCATCCCTAGTAATATATTACCAGAAATCTTTTATCCAGATTCCTTATGCCTATTTATCAAGTTTGCGAAGTTCGAAGTGTCCGAAAAAATATGCCATCACTGGTTTTCAAACTGAAATTAGGGGATATAGTGAAGTGAAGTACTGATTACTATATTGTACCAAATTTCTTTATAATTTGATGATTTTAGAATCGTGTGTTATTTAATTGTGTGTATGTTATTTTTGTGCTCATTTATCTAGGTATATGTTAATTTATTTGTTTAGAACATTGATTAATAAAGCAACATTTTTTATCAGAATTCTTTTCATTTAGGTTCTTATACTTTTGTTAATGGGTCTATAAAAGGGTTTGTAAAAATATTGTCCTTTTTAAAAATTACAATAATTATGGTTAAAATATTGATATAGGATTTTGTAATTAAATCTACAAAATGTTTATTATAATTACAAACTACTTATTAAATTAGTTAACCGATTACAGTTTGTTGTAAACTTAACATAAAGTTATCTGGACATAGATTAACATAAAATCTGGTTAATATTTTTTTCATCAGGATGAAGAAGCAATTCTGATCCTTTAAAATTAAAAAACAAACATTAAACCCTAAAACTGTCCTCTGGAATTTCCCATATCGACTGGATCTCGACAATCCTCTTTTGTTTCAGCGCGCCTCCACTCCATTGTGTAAACAGATGTCTGCGTTTTAATCCGGATCGGTTCGAGAAAAAAGCTCGAATGGAAGTAAAGTGGGGTCGGGAAGGGGGAAAAGTTGAGGGAATTTGGAGAAGTTTCGGATTGCTGGAAAAAAGTAATTAAAAATGCATCTGCTCTCTCGTAACAGTTTAATCTTTTTAGTATTTTTTTTTGCTTTTGTTTCGCGGATGTCAAGCCCCACTATCACTTTGAGTCTTTGTATGTTCATGTGAGTTTGGGGGGGTGTTTAGGATTTTTCATTGTTTCGTATTTGTGCGACCGTAAAGTTAAACTACATCATTAACGTCGATGCTTGATGAGAACTGCTGCCAATCGTGGATATGAAATTTTAAAACATTGAAAAAAAAACTTATTTTAAATTCGCCGACATTTCGAGGGCATTTAGTGCTCTCTTCCTCAGGGCTAAAAACCAACAATGAGAAAATTACTTTTTTAAATAAATACCTCTAAAAACAATTTTCGTAAAAACTTTGAAGAAAACCGGACTCACCTAATTCAAAAAATGTATTGACATATCGTCAAACATATATACCGCAAAACGGCATGTACTCCAATAAAATAATTCAATACATTCTGATAGAATGACATTAGAATAACAAATAATAATGGTACATTTGAACTAGGTACTTAATTGGAAATTTTATGACGAAAACATGTCATATAAATGGAAATTCTAAAAAGTATCTACTACCTTGTTGGACGGCTATCGAAACGTGAAATTGTAAATATTTTTCAAAACGAAAATATCTCCAAAACAACAATCTATCAGACATTAGCTAAATGCGAACAAGGAATACCTTGTTTTAAATTAGCAAAAAGTGGACGACCCAAAGTTCTAAGTGAAGTTCGTGAAAACAGAGCGGTTAAACTCATCTCATCGAAAACTGGCAAGTAGATTTCATGTATTAAGTGCCACTACACAAAAAACACTTAAAAGAAGAAACTTAAAATATCGCAGACGGAAATGCTCAAAATCCACGCAGAATCAACTACAGAGAATCCATTTCGCAAACAACAAACGCATCATTTTGGATGATGAAAAATAGTTCACTCTTTCTAATTCGGAAATGAAAGTAAATTTATATTTCGGTTTCTACCCTCATAACATTAAAGAGTGTCCACGCCACAAAGCTAAAACAAAATTTGAAGATAAAGTTTTAGTTTGGGCTGCCATTTCAGATATAGAGGTATCTCTGGACCGTGTGTTGGGCGGGTAGGAGGGGAACCAATCGATGCTATTATATATACCCAAAGATGTCTTCCAAAATTAGTTGATTTTATTAATGAACACCACCTTGTAGACGAAATAATGTTTTGGTCTGACCTGGCATCATACCATTAAAGCTCATTCACATCCACTTAATACGCGTAACTTAACTTAACGTACGTGATAGACATAAGTTGAAATGCATTGAAACCAATACAGCTGTTTACATTCGTAGAAAACTTATCACACGTAACTTAACGTATCCAAAAGTTGGGTCCGACTCAACTTAAGGGAATACGTTTCTTACGTGAGCCAATCACATGCCCAGTAAAACGATATAGCGCTATCTTGTTGTTTCACTTTTATAGATAGATAGGCAACCCAGTCTACATCCATGTCTACATTGCGTGTGCTTGTATATTGCGTTCTTTGCGTGTATTAAGTTAATGTAAACAGACAACTTAACAGACGTAGGTTTCTTAAGTTAAGTTAAGTTAAGTTACGCATATTAAGTGGATGTGAATGAGCTTTTATGCTCGAATCACCAGAGATTGGTTAGCAGCACATAACATATCTTTTGTGCCCAAGAAAGATAATCCTCCAAACATACCTTAAGCTCGCCCAATTGAAGCTTTTTGGTCCTTACTGAGCAGGAAGGTCTATGACAATGTTTGGAAAGCCGCAGATGAACAAGTCTTGCGTGGTAGAGTTTATCAAAAAAATCGAGAAGTAGATATAACATCCTTCCAGAGACTAAAGCGACAAGTTCGAATAAAGCTTCACCAAATTTAAAGCAATGGACCTTTGGCAGTTCGTTAGATGAGGTTATTTTTTCCTAGTATAAGAGTATTTTAATGTTACAAATTAAATACACACTTAAATATATTTTTAGTTTTGGTTTGGTTAAAATTAACAAATAGTTTTTACTGTGTAATAAATCAATCGACTCAAATGTGGTCTGTAGTTTAGCATTCAATTAAACCAAATTCGAATCAATTAAAGTGTTATATTGCCACTAATAACAGTATTTAACCTAGTAAAAAAGGCATTAAACAACATCATAAACTATTCCCAACGAATTTCTATAAAATAAGTACGTATGGTGCAGGACGACTGGAAAATTTATTGGGGCCAAACATGCATGTGATAGTGTTAGATAACCGCTTTCATTGTAACTAAATATTGCCGGGTCGTTTAATTCGTGCCTTCATGTTAAAACATATTTTAGGCAGAAATATGCCCCTGCTGTTCAGCTCAAATAAAAGTAGATTGTAAATCTTGAAAGCGTTTGTTAATATTTTATTTGTTTGTTGCAGCTGCTTCCGGGAAATACGAACACTTTCACCATTGTTGATCAAAAACTTGAGCCACCAGTGATTGCAATGAAGTTTCGCTTTTTACCTTACAGTGATCATGTGCGGACAGTGTGCATGAGGGTCGAACTAATCGGCTGCCAATGGACAGGTGAGTCATCAATTTTTAGTTTTCAGTACAAATAACTTGTATCGATTCAACAATAAGTTTGTCTCGGTGGAGCTTAAACTATAAATCCAATAAAAAGTTATATGTGCCTTAAAAGTTTCCACAATTTTCCAACAATAACTATAACTTGTCTGAACTTATCTGTAATTGTCTGAGTGAGTAAAATTTAATACATATTTGCTAGAACATACTAAATACATTAATTACAAAATAAACCAAAATATTAGAGTGATTCAGTCTGCAAATTTAGCTTTTGATTAATTTTAATTGCAAATTTCGTTTGACCATTGTTTTATCAGCTTAACTAAAAGCAAGGCAAACGGTTTATTGTTGTAGTTGGAAGTAACTGCTGACGTGTATCGGCAAGTATACAGTACAGAGAGCGTGGGACAATTAAAATCAACCCAATGGTACATTATTCCTGCTTGCTTGTTCAGCAGCAGCAGGACTATTACCGTCCTGCCACGTACCACCGCACAGTGATTCAAGCTGCAGTTTTAGCCAGTTAAAATGCTATACTGATCAGAGAATCTCCAGAGAGGTTACTCGAGTAAACATATCTATACTTGCAGTTACAGTCAGGCAGCACTTCTTCAGAAAGGGTCAACTGTAATTACTCAGTCCGGGTCATCGAGGTATTAAAGGCAACGAGAAAGCAGAACTGCTGGCTCATAAGGGCAGCATTTATCGGGCCAAAACCTGCTTTTGGGGTTGCCTCCTATCTGATGAATAGGAACTGGTCTAACAAGACGAATGGCTGAAACAACGAGGCTGTGGATAGTCAAGGTCCTAAAAACAGTAAAGAGGAACAAACTAAGAGCCACAGGTGTCCTGGCAGGGCACTGCACAAAACGGTACCATTTCTGAGACGTATTGTAGGTACTGCAGCGTAGAAGACGAAAGAACCAAGCATACAAGTGTCACCTTATAAATTTTCTTCCTTTGGGGGGATGATAGTACACGCCAAAACAAGAAAGTGTTTTCTCCATCATTTTTGCATTAGAGCAACTGTTTTTTAATAAAAAAATTATGAAATTTGTTTGATAAAACCAAGGACCAATCATGGACAATAAACTTACCTGGTCTGTACATATTGAAGAACTATCGAAAAAACTGTCATCGGCTATCTATTGTGTAAGAAGAATACAAAGTATTGTTAATGAAGACGCGGCACTAACTACTTATTACGCCCACTTTCATAGCAAGGCCTCCTATGGGATTTTAATTTGGAGTGGATCTTCAGAAGCATTCAAAATATTCCTGCAACAAAAAAGGGCAATAAGAGCAATCGCCAAAGTAAGTCGCCAAACATCTTTTCGCTCACTCTTTAAAAAGTTTAAAGTTTTTATACTTACCTGTCTTCTTTATGTCTACAAAAATTTAAAAATCTTTGAGGATCACACTAACACAGGTCACGAAACAAGATTTAACAAAATGCTAAGAATCCCAACGAACAGAGTAAATAAAACTTAAAATTCCTTTGACCATCTAGAGATAAATTTTTTTAATAAGCTTCCATGTAATATAAAAAACAAAAATTTTAAAGCGGCACTAAATAATTTATTTATAGAAAATGTGATATATAGCTCCAAAGAGTTTTTAGATTTGTCCTTTTAGTAATATTTGTATTAGTGTTAAATAATAATGGATTTTGTATTTATATTTTTATATTTATTGTGTTTTGCATTTATATTTCTTATAGTGATGTTTTTTGTATATATATTACTTATACCATTTATTAAATTGTAAACCTTGAAGGTAAATAAACTTATTCTTATTCTTATTTTATCCTATAAATCATCATTGTTTTTATATCTAAAAACAATGATATTATTCATCCAAGCAAAAAAGAAACAGGTACAGTGTATTATGTAATATCAAACTTTTAAACTTACCCAAAATCGGTTGGTAGGTACTTTGTTATCATTGATTACTGACAGTTCGGTTGTTATTGTAGTTTCTCTGGGGCTACATGAACAGTTTAGTGTACCAAAGCAAAGTTGACACATTAGAACAACTTCGCGAACTTGTCACTGCAGCGGCAGATGAAATCCGGAATCATCCGGATATGATAGCAAGAGCGACACATCATAATTTTTTACACCGCTGTCAACTTTGTGTGGATAGTTGAACATTTATTTTGATTTTGTGGAACACTTCAAAAAACAGCTACATGAGCATCAATCGACGTAAAAAGTGAAAGGAGAAATTTAAAATCGACAGGAAAACCACGGAAACCTCGAGATACCAACAAATAGCTGAGTATGCAAAACAAAAGCAATGGGGTAGTTAAATTTTTTCTGACCTATACTTTTTATGGTTTTATTCAAGGCGTTTTGTAATTTTAAACATTTCTGTGAAATCGGAATTTCAATTGAGTTTACCGGTTTCGAGATATTTACAAAAAAAAATCTCCTAATTACGTCACTATAGACAACTTTATAATATTTTAGTTTTAAAACCACTTGATCTATAATTTTAATTAAGAAGAAGAAGAAGAATTGAATTTTTGACGTTTCTTTTTTTCGGGTTATGTTTTTTTTAAATTTAGATTATTGAAAATCAATGTTATTGTTATGTTATTTGTAATTGATATTATTGATAACGGACTCCAAAGCAGAGGAATCTTGTGGAATGGTTGGTTACATTGAACATTGGAGCTTTTAAACAAATAAAGTAAGTACCTATAATTATAATCATATTTTGTCGTAAATGCATTTCATTAGTATAATGCCTAGTTCTTTATATTCTTTTAGATATATCTTGGATTCTAAAATATCAAACAGTAATATGAAAGATAGGTTCTTAATGAATTTGGTGACCATCTGTTTGAATAATTTTAATCAAAATGTCTATTTGTAGACCCTGCACTATCTTTACCTACCATGTACGTTATTGCAGCAATATTTAAACCAGAATTGTCGAAAAGTACAAAAATGTACTCTGGAGCATAGTATCTTCGAACACTCCAAAAGTTTGTCATACATTTTTTTTAATCTTACAAAAGGTTTTGATGCTCATCATCAGGGATGCAAGTTTTATAAAAACTATACACAAATATCATAAATACCTTTGTTAACTTACATTTACTGTTATTTTTTGTAAATTTATTTCATTCATTTTCAGCTTTATTTTGCCACTTTTTTCTATGAAATATATTAAACTCTGCTTTAGACAGTTATTAGGTACCTATTTATTACATTTTATTAGGTTTCACACGGTGTTTCAATGTGTAAACCTATCAATAAAACTTTTAATTTCAGAATTTTCTTTAACCTCCTCTTCTTCTTCTTTCACTCAACTGACAGTGACAGTATTTGTACATAACCTCTTCGGGTATTTTCTGACATAACCGAATGAAACAAGACAACTTGACAACAGGGTAATTTTCAACCAATAGAAATCTTAGAATGATGGTCACATGGCGAGGTTTGTGACGTCATAAAAATTTATATTTTTTGTAAATATCTCGAAAACGGTAAACTCAATTGAAATTCTGATTTCACAGAAATGTTTAATATTACAAAACGCCTTGAATAAAACCATAAAAAGTATAGGTCAGAAAAAATTTAACTACCCCATTATCAACAAAGTAATGATAAAAATTTAAAAAAAATTGTAATGATTTTTTTATTACAAAAAAATGGCACTAATGCGAAAATGAGGAAAAACTTACGAAACTACACAAATAGAGAGATATCTAGCTAAAACTTCAAACTTGGATCACTGTGGACAAATTTCAAACGTAAAGGACAATTACAAGCCGAACATTGGTCAGTTTTGTGCTGTTGCGGCTTGTTAACTGACACCATTGAATGTTTTTAACGCGCAGTTAAAATTAATGAAAGTATTTAGATTTAACAGTAAATAAGTTAATTACACGCGGTGCTAATAGAGAGACAAAGGTGCAATTTAAAGGAATTTTCCAAACAATAGTGTTGTTTACAATTCGCTGTTTCCAGTGTATTCGCTGCAAAACTTCATTAATGGTGTGGAGAAAGTTTTACCAGAAAAATCGATCAAAACTTGGCATGTTCGGTTTAATAAGTTTACACAAAAATATAATTTGTTTAAATTATGCACTGAAAAAAATAAGCTATTGAAACAACAAAAAAAATATTAATTCAACTCTTTATGCACTTTAAATACAAGCAATGGTTTTTGCACGTTTACTTAACCATCTAAAAATGTCAAATTGTATTGTTTAATTGAACAACAAATAACAGTTAAATGAACAAAATAAGAATATTTGTTCTAATCTGCTAATTTGGTTAATTTAACATTCTTAGGGTGTTAAGGTAAATTTCTTGAAATGTCCAGGTAACCTTTTTAGCATATTCACTTAACACCAATAAAATGTTAAATTAACATTCTGAAAATGTAAAATTCTTTAAAGGTTGGTATCCAAAACAAAATTATGGAAATAATATATTATTATATATAAATAGAAAGAATTGAACCTTCACCTCGCCCAGAGTTTTTGTTTTGAGCGTGTTCCACCCATAATACATCTTTGTATCATGTGTTCCACCTACTTCAAATACCGACAGACTGTTTCGCCCTGTATTGAGGGTCTTAACAGTGTCGGGCAATATGGTGTAGTGAAAGTTCTACTGTGGAACACACCTTAAACAAACAGATATCTCATCTTATATACACCTAATCGTAAGCTAACTAAGGCGAGATGTAAGAAAACGTCATTGTCTAATGACGTGGCGTGAGTGTTCGAAGCGCCATTCTCGGCAATTTTATGAATGCAAATTTTACATTTTAAATTTTAAAGTAACATTTTAAATTTGTTAAATGAACAAATTTAAAGTTTTGGATTAAAGAGCAACTAAACGTTAATTTAATAGTTTTTTTAGGTAATCCTAAAAATTTCAGTAGTTGATTCAACAAATTCCAGCTATTAAATCAAAGTACGATAAACATTTTAATTCAAAATATTAGTTTATGTTAAATTAATATTTAAACTGTCAAATGAACAAATAAACTTTGACAAACTCTGACTTTTGCTTTAACACCAAAATATAGATTAATCCAATAGGTTTTTTGTTGAAACAACATTTTTAAAAATGACATTTAGGCAAATGTTAACTCAACTACATTATTTTTTTCGGTGTGCGTGAAAAATAACTGAAACTTACTTTAAAAAAAGATCATAAAATGGGCCTTAAGTGGTATAATTACTGGACCAATTAATACAAATTATTCACGGCAGCCCCAAGAGAGAATCATTGGGGTACACTTTGCGGCTTATTCGTAAAAATTGCCTGTCATAATTCGTAAAAATCCTCTAGTTAAGACGGAAGGAAGAAGACTGGGGCGCTCTCAAGAGAAGCATAACAATTCTGCGGGGTTCATGACGGGCACCTGTGCCACCCCGTTATTAATGGATCATATTAATCGGCGCAATTAATAATTTCTGTAGGCTCAGCCCCACTTGCGAATTCCGTAACCATTAATCACATTTAGAATCGGGTGTATTAAATAAACGGTAGAAAAGTCATTGTTATTCTGCGAGTATATACTGTTTACGTTCTAGTTAATTTGAATTGATGATGTAGATAATGTAAATGTTATGTTACATGATAATGTTTTGCAATATAAGTTTATAAAAGACCGTAAATAAGGGAACGGCTAACTGGTATCAGTCAGGCACTGGGTAAAGATAAGGCAGGTCCTAATATTGTCCAATGGGAGCCAGAGACTCAAGCCTTAAAGATTCGAACAAAGTTTGGGACAGCCCTTATAGCAGGACCAGATCGAACCCATATACGCATAACTTCTCTAATTACACTATGATAGTTTTAGAAGCTTTTTTTTCCTAACATTGAGTACTCCAGCTTAGGTTAAGTAGTTTTGGGCCGCTGATTCCAAAAATGTCATTTGTTTTTCTTTAGGACAACAAAGTTAACAAGTTTCGGTATTTTTTACCTAAATTAAGCCCAAAAAATTTAATGCATTGCATAATGTTGCTTTCTTCTACCTTAAATTTATTAATTCGTATCAAATATCGAATTGAATTATGGTAATATTGTGCTGCAAATTCCAGCAAATGTCTCCTAGCAATGAATCCAACTTCTTTCCGCTATACCCATAGATATCTACCAATGCTCTAGATTTGCAGTTAATTGGTGAAATCGTTCTCCATGTTCATCAGTTCGGCAAATTTATCAGGATTAAAAAAAAAGAAAATGTATTTTAAATCACATATTAACGGTAATTTTTTACAAAACGGAGAGCATTTTTTTTTTAAGAATTGGCGCCAATTTTAGGCCCGATATGAACCAAGAACATTTTTAATGACAGCTTTAACACTGCCATATGCGACAAGCTCGTCAACTTTGAGAGCATTTTTGAATGCTTGATCTTTCATTAAACGTCGTATATCAGGTCCATTCCTGCAAAATTAAAGTAGTGGGTATATCTCATAAAATTTTGTAATGAAATATTGCGTTGGTTTTTCTTGGGCAACAAAAACAAAACATATTTACAACGACGACATTAAGGTTCGTCTTCTTTCTCTTTCTCTGCCACTTCCATTACTACTTCCATTTCCTGCCCTTTTTTCATTTTTGGTTTTTAAAATCACAATCAAGTAAAAATACAATTTAAAGTTTAAATTTTAAATGTCAATAATTATTATAATAATACACTTTAGTGTGCTTGAACGATAAAGTAGATAAAGGCGCATTTATACTTCAATTCGATATTAAATTTTGATAAGACTAAAAAAATATCAAATAATAGTCGAAGAGTAATGTTTATACCGAAACCCATTTACTTTATTGCCTTTTCAATTTAATTAGTAGGATATTAAAAAAACGACACAAAAATTTCAAAAAAATGATACTTTTTTACAAAAAAAAACATAATAATTTTAGTTTTGGTAAAAACGTAAAAAATATACTGAACATCCAAAATAGATTTAAGGCAAAATAATTTAATAAATAATCAAAATATTAACGAAAATCTTTGAGATAATTGGGCAAAGCATTTTATTACGCAATTATTTCGAATCCTAGACGTCCTGGAGCAAAACGAGTGGCATTTTTGAAATCAGCAGCCCAAAATTAGGTATTATAGGTGGGCGTACTCAATGTTAGTAACTCGAACTATGATAGTGTAATTATTATGGATTGATTAAATAAACACTTGCCAGACGATGCCTTCTTTTCTTAATTAATTTAACCAATCAAAACTCACTTAAGAACTAGAAGGTACATCTGTACAACGAGAGATGGCGCTGACGGTTTTAAATACCAATTAAATTAATAATATCCACCCGCTTAAATTATTACCAAATGATGTAGCGAAACAAACTCTCTATAAGCACACAGAAAAAAATCTAACATAGTACCAAGAACAGCGCTGTTATTGAATGCATTAAAATTGAAGCAATCTAAATTGTTATTTGCTCAATTAATTACTATTTAACCAAAATAGGGAAATATTTTGCCTAAATTTCAAAGAATTTATTGCGTTAAATGTATACAAAGTATACATACAATAGTAACGTTATTAAATAAATCAAATTAGTATTTAATGCAATAACATTCTACCATTCTAACAAATGAATATCAATAGATTTAGAAGCGATAACTTTTGTTGTTAATTTAAAAACAGTAAACGATTATAAACCAAGTGCTAACTACCTGGTATTGGTATTATAGGAACTGTTATTCAGGAATACGGATTACAAGATCCCATTGGTTTAATGGCTCACCCATTCATGCTATGCTAGTGTTTTTTCTGTGCATTCAATTTTTATTTTTATTATAATTTTTTTTCAGATGGACTAGTAAGTTACAGCATGCCACAAGGTGTCAAACGTGGCATAGATATGGATTTAACAGATCGCACCTACGATGGCAGAGACGACAATGGTCAGCTGTCCAATGGTCTAGGACAACTGGTCGATGGCCAAAAAGGACGGGACAACTTTAAACTGGATATAGCCGGTAATGGAAAAGGTATCATTAATACAACTTACAATACAATACAATACAAATTCTTTATTTGCTCAATTACATACAAAAGATGTTTAGCATCGTCCCAGAAGTACAATTTTAATATTGCATAAATACAGATTACATATTTAAAGTAAAAATCCCAATAATAACAATTATAATTAATAACAGTTAACAAAAATAAACTTAAACTTAAAAGTGTTTAATCTATTTAAAAATTCATCGATAGTATATGGACAGATCTCCAAAATTATTTGTTTAATTCTCTTTTTAAAGGTTAAAATAAGTAGAGCTTTTATTTCAGTTGGTAGGAAGTTGAATAAAATAATAGAGTTATTTAAAAAACTTTTATGAGTTAAATGTAACCTATGTTGGGGTATCAATAGTTGATCACCAAATCTGTTGCCATAGGCATGTCTGGTATTTACTGAGTTTTTGTATAGATTAGGCACTGATATATATAAATACCCACCAGAGTGGGTATATTCAATTCCTTAAAAAGGGTTCTATAGGAGTGTTCTGTTTTTTTTTTGTTATAATTCGAATAGCTTTTTTTTGAATAGTAAAGATCTTTTTCCATTCAGCTGAGTTTCCCCAATATAACAGGCCATATGATATCTTGGATTGAAAGAGACCCATATAGGCAGTTCTGGATATATCAGAATTTGCTTTATCTGCAATTTTCCTCAAAAGAAAGAGTGTTGATGATAATTTATTTGATAAATTTAATATGTGATTTTTCCAGCTTAATCTACTATCTAGATATACACCAAGAAATCGTATTGTTTTGTTTGATTCCTTTTCCTTAAGTGTAAAATTCATTAACTCAGTCTTTTCTAGGTTTAGCAAAAGGTCAGCAAACCAGCTGTGTAGTTTTTGTAGTGTTTGTTCTGTTGATACCTCAAGATTTTTATAGTTTTTGTCATTGTCAAGAAAAGTATTGTCATCGCAGTACTGAACTGGTTTGTTCTGTGGTACTGAATGGATTTTATTTCAGAAAAATAAGCTGGTAATTCATTAACATATAGAATGAAAAGTATGGGCCCTAGTATTGAGCCTTGCGGTACTCCTGCTCTTACAGTTTGTGTTGTTGATACTGTGTCATTGTAATATGTAACTTGTGTGCGGTCAGACAAATAAGAAATTATCAGGTCCGAGCTTACCCCTCTTATACCATAATATTTTAGTTTAGTGATAATAGTCTGATGACACACACAGTCAAATGCCTTCGACAGGTCACAGAAAACAGCAGAGACATCCTCAGCCCTCTCAAAGCATCCAACTATATGCGTCACCAGCTCCCCCAAGGCATCACTGGTTGATCTATTTTTTCTAAACTTCTTTAATCCGATTATAATTTTAAACAAAGTACATATGTATTGTAAGGAAAACTCTTATTTTTTATAAGAATTTCCCGATAATTTATTGACGGAACTTTATTGACCCATTTATAACTTTCGTTTGGGCACGCGGCTAACTTATTATCTGTTAAAACATTCCAAACTTTGGCTTATTAAAAAAATCGCGTAAAATCTTGGTTCAACTCTTAAAAGAATGCTCGACACGATCTCTTGGCCGAATGATTAATAGCAGTGAATCAGCAGTTCGGCAGTATTTTTATTAAAACTTTGTAGGTCTCTAAATTAAAGACAGGAGGGTTTTCTAAATGGCTTTATCACCTGCAATCTGTTTTTATTAGGTTTTATTTGCTTTTATCTCCTAAAATGTTTTATTAGAGAGTTTAACTACAGTGAGTTAAAAGTTATAATTAGGGATGGGATTTTAGTTATTTTACCTTTTTTCAACCGATGTGACTATTTGAAAACCAATAATGCCAAAATGTGTTTTAAAAGATTTTCTTGTTTTCACCTTTTTTACCTTTTTATACTTTTGTTACATATTTTTTAATTTGTCAGTTTATTTTCACATATTTGTTATCTATTTTTACGTATTTTTACTTATTTTATTTTTTTGTGTTCTTTTTAAATTTTCAACCAATATTTTATCCAGGGCGTGCAACTCAACGGTATAGAATTTTTTCTTATGGTCACAGACTGTAACAGTAACTTTCTTTACAGTTACCTTCTTTGTAGTGAGCTTATGTTCTGTCATAGAACTTCTGTGTAGTGAGTGTCACTCAGTGAAACACAGTTTATTGCATAGAAATAGTTTATTGTGGCTATGTTCTGTGTTTGGGTATGGAGCTAAACAAAATTATAAACTAAACTTGAACTTTAATGTTTTTTTTTTACCTAAAATGCTGTTTTTTTAACCTAAAATGCTCTTTTTTAGTACCTTTTTAGTTACCTATTTTTCAGTTTTTAGTACCTAAATATCCCATCTTTAGTTATAATTATGGTATATATTTTAATGTAAGAGTTTCCCATGGGCTCTTAGAAAATTGGTGAAGACATTTTTTTGCTTAAATTCGTTTTGTTCATCCGTCGAAATTTTTTTAAAAATAGGCAGAACCATCAATTTTTCTCTTTTTACGAGTAACATTTTTTCTCATAAAGTGTAAATTGTTGACATATTTAACATATTTTTGTCACTTCCGGTTTCACCGGAAATGGTTTTAACTTTTTAAATGTCCTACGAACTATGAATTTAATCGGTTAAACTAGGCTCAGTAGTTTTTTGTTTGGTTTTTCTTGGAAAATGTTGAATGCAAAATAATTTAATAAAATCACGAGACCGCGTAGCGGTCAAGGGGTTTTATTTTTAATTATTTTCCATGAAACTATTTCCAAAAAGAAAAATCAAATAAAAAACTTACTGAGCAGATTAAATTTATAGGTTGAGTGATATTCGTCTAGATTATTTCTCAAATTAAAGGAAACTATTTGACAATTCATAAAATCTGACGTATGTGTTAAAATTTATAAATATTAAAAAAAAATTCCATTTATTTAAGGTATGTAATAAGTTATAATTGATATTTCGTAAACTAGATAACTTATTTTTTATTGTTTTTTAAAAAATGTTTGTTAAAACTTGTAAATAACACCATAAAATCGTAAACAAAAATCCAATATGGAGGCTAAAATTTAATCGCTGTTAAATAGTTCTAGTGATTTAATCGCTTATTTAAACGAAATTTATTCGAAAATTCAAGGCTTTTGATTGGTTCATATTATAATGAGGGAAATAATCAAAAAGAAAAAATACGGTTCTCATCAATTTCGGTAGATAAACTGTAAAAAGATGGAAAGAACCCTTTGTAACTAAATTCGTGGACATACTGTATATTAAACTATAGGTTCTATAGTTACTAAAATAAAAGCTTCAGAGTTTTCTTAATGGCTTTATCACCTAGGAAGCGATTTTATTCGATTGTATTTGCTGTTTACCCAGTAAAATGCTTTATTGGAGTTTCTACACAGAAGTACCCCACAACTTTATTTTACTTCATCAAAGTTGTCCCAGGAGTGACAGAGTTTTAAAAGATATAAATTGAACCACACTAAAACCGGAAAGATACAAAGTGGCTAAAAGTTAGTTGGGTTAAGCGATACGGGCGCCTTTAGAGTAATCCTCATAGCCGCATTGTAATTATATACATTATTTACCCAGATCAGTTCAATATTTTGGCGTAAAAAGCAACGAGTCGTGTGTTTGAGAAAAGAAAGCGTTCAAACTTATTTCAACAAAAAGATCGTTGAAGAAATAGTCTTTCAGACAGTATCTACAAAAACTATTTGGATTTTAGGTTGCCAAATTTATAAAAATAGGTACCTAAATAGGTAAAGTTTTTTCTTGTTTTAGGTAAAAAAATTCTTTAATTAGGTAAACCATACGTTTACTTAAAAATAAGAATAATTGAATTTTTAATAACAGTTTTATAAAAACATGCAAAAAGTATAGTTATTGGACATATTATATAGTAATTGGACACATGAACCATAGTTATTGGACATACAATCTTTATATAAACATTACAACTTTACATCAAATAACATAAATTGTTAAATATTTTTTTTATTTGTTTTTTGTAAATATCATATAATTCATATATTTCTTTCTCGGATTCCTTATTCCTTTTCTGGATTCTGAAGGTAACTACTAATTCCTTGGTCTGACTTCTGAAATAGTTTGTTGCAAATATCATTAAGTGTAGTATCTCTAGTTTGTAAAGCATTTATAATGTTTAGGCCGGAACAGGATGATTTATATATATCTAATATTTTTTGTGTGGTATGTATTTTCTGAATTTATTAATTTTCTTGCCATTAGTTTTTTATATTCTCTATCATGCACTGTATTTAAATTAATGTTATTCTGCAAGATGTCCTGTAACGAAGAAATCACTATATTACTTACTCTCTAAAAATTAATAAGTCAAAAATGTCATAGCGAAAAAGCAGCCACTAATAATTTTCGTCAACAGCAATTTGTATCCAGGATATTTAGCAGTCAATTCCTATGAAATATTATTCGCTGAATCCAAAATTGTCGTCAAAAGTTATAAAAGTAGAACAGTTTTTGAAATATAATCAATTTTACATATAATATGGAATTGACTATATCTCAAAAACTGCTTAACTTTTATAGTTTTTGACGGTCTTTTTGGATTCAGAGGAAAATTTTACATAAGAACTGGCTGTTAAGTATCCGGGATATAAATAGAGTATGATATTGGACAAATGTCCAATAATAGAAATTTACATTTTTACCAACCAGTAATTGGACACTGGCCATTTTACTGTTTGTTTTCAGAATTAAAATTAAAACGCATTAAAGTGACAATGTTTAAACCATAAAGAACACATTTATACCACACACTGATCTGTACACTTTTTAGAAATATTTTTTATTGTAATTTGAACAAAGCCTGCTCTTAACAAAAAAAAACAAAAATCTTAACACCAAAGTAACGTGCGAACTTTTTTGTCCTATATTGGACCCAAAATAAAGTAGTTCTATATTATTACCGACTGAGATAGTTATAATTGTATACAGGGGCATCTAATGATTTGAGTTTGTAAAAATATTGTTATACAATAATTTGTGAAAATACATGATATTTTTAAATAAAAAATGATAACACGAGATTGATTTAAAAAAACTTAAGATATCATGCAAAAGCATGAGACCTGGCAACACTGCACAACCATGGGTTAATAAAATTTAAAAATTTCTGTTAAAAATAAGAATTAAGGTGAAATAGGTAAAATTACACTGGTTTAGGTAGTAAAATGTAAAAATTAGGTCCATATCTTTTGAAAATGAAAATTTAGGCAAAATAGGTAAAATAAAATCAGGCTCAAATGAAATTATTTTCTTTAAAACGGGTTTTATTCCATTGCACCTAAAGTTATGATTAGGGTAGTCAAATAGGTAATAAAACTAAAATCCCATCTCTTTTTAGTACCTACCTTATTAGACCATCTCAGTTTTCTAGACCAGCTGTTTTATTTTTCAGATTCATACGCTTTTCTCTAGAATGTATTTTAATTTTTGCACTAAATTCCCAGTATGTATTATCACCTGAAATATAATACAGAGACAATATTTGCCTTGACTAATGAACAAATACCGTTGTCGTAAAATAAAAATGTCCGCTGCAAGTTTGTGTACATTTAATTTGACGTCAAGGGTAAAATGACTGTAATAATATATTCCTTATTTAGGACCAAAAATCCATTCAAGTCCTGAATATAAGGCAAATATTTGCACTAGCATTACACCACCTATAAAACACAATGCAAACACTGAACATACCTTTGTCAAAGATTCAATTTCATTGTAAAGTTTTCAAGTTTATAATTTTGTATCCAAACAAAGATACGTTTTCAATATTTGTAGAAGACAGTAAGATTAGGTGATATTTATATAGGATGTTCAAATATTCCAGAAAAGGCCCTGCCAAGAATCTATCCCAAATACATAATTGTTTTTAGTACATGTTCCCTGGTTTTGTAGAAACTTCATAGGAAACTTGACTTGATTTAATTTCAAGGTCAAACTTTTTCAGTTTATTATTGTTTTTTATCTTATATTTCTTTGTTATCATATCATTTAAAACAAATATATACTACTAGATGTAAAAACTTGTAGATAAGCGTTCTAAACTATTCAAAATTCAAAATTCTAAATGGAAAAAAAATGTGAATAGAATTGCGTCTAAATATTACATATATTTCATTAGACAACGACATTTAATTCATTCCATTCCAAGTCCTGCATTTATCCAACGAATATAGAAAACATCTTAGCTTTGTAATTGAAATGTCTCAAAATTATCATGTAAACAAATAAAAACCAGATTGTCAAAAAAATATTCTCTCATTATAAACGTCAAAAAATTTCTACAGTATAATTCGCTGTTGGGTACCCACAAGGAAAAAAATTCCACTAAAATCCATCCGTTGCCATGGTGATCTGTCAAAAATACACGTTTTGATTGTTTAAAAATTACAGGTGTGGAATTTCCAAAATATTGTTCATGAAGATAATTTTTTTTTTTATTTAATTATATATGATTATACTCAAAACTACATATTATCTCAAAATGTATATTGCTGAATTCAGAATTTCATAATCTATTCGAATCTGAAAAAAAAGAGGGGATACAATTTTAAAAACGGCCAATGACGTCATAGCTTCTACAAAAATGACGTCAAATAGAAAAATTTTGGGGAAAAAAGGCACATTTTTTAATGTATTCCGTACTTTTGCCTGTCATTGTATATGCATCTACTGTGTATATATCCTAGACAGTGCGCCATTTGTTATGAAATTAGTTTGCAAAATCAAACTCATAATATTTATTGAAGTGGTTGGTGCACCATACATGTATCGTCCCAGACATGCGGTCCCACATAATATTGCCTAAGTTGGCTGAACCTTCAGGTACAAGCAAAGGTGCAAGCAATATTTGATTTTATTGTGGAATACGTATTTGCATTTATATTACTATTTCTGCTTTGGGCAACTGTTACATCCTGTTGTTCGGCGACAGATTTCTCATATTTTAAACCTACTTTTTGGACGAACACGTGTCGTATGCTTTTATGCTGAAATATCAAACTGTTCTGGGTAAATAATGTGTATAATTATAGCACAGCTTTGTAGCCCTGTGCATTACATCATGGGGCAAGATTTACCAAGTGTACCAGGTGTAAAAATTTTTGTCACCGATTTTGTTTAAACTTTACTTATTTGTTGTTCTTATAACGAAGAATAATAGCATAATTTTTTTTTGCTCTAGGATTGTTCATTCAAGAGTTATGGATTATTTAAATTTATCGATTTTTTACTTTTTGGTGAAATCGCTTTTTATTTAAAAATTCATAACTTCTGTTCATCTCTTTATTAAATATTTCAATTTAACCACCTTAAATGATTTTTTCCGTACTTTTCAATGGGCTATACCGTTTTTGCAAAAAAATGAAAATTGCAATTTTTTTGTTGAAATTTTGCAAAATTTTGCATTTTTTGAAACAATGTTTATTTTTTATTTTTTTTAAATAGCATAAAATCCAAGTTTATTATGTTACCTTTGAATAAAAAAAAATTTAGAGTGGGCCCGACATGTAGAAGGGTAGTTTTTCATATTTGAATGCAGCACGGTCTATAGCCATCGAATAGCTACTACACTGCCGTATGCGTTTATACCTAGTAGATGCGAGTAAACGAATATAAAATGATAATTTAAAATGAAAAATTATGTTTGAGTAATCATTGATGTATTTTAAATATTTACACTGCCGCACGATATAGTTTTTTAACTGTATTTTTGAACAAATTGTTTAAGCATGGGTCTACATAGATTTCGCAAGGAGGATCGATGATATTAAATAAAAAATTTATTCTTATAACTGTAACGGCTTGCCTATAAGCCTTTACGGTTATAACAATACATTTTTTATTTAATATCATCGACTCTCCTTGCGAAATCTATGTAGACCCATGCTTAAACAATTTGTGCAAAAAAATACAGTTTATATACAAAAGTGCTCTTTTAGTTCCACCCTTACTTCTTAAGAAGTCCCATAAGCCAACTGAATGGCTTGTGCGGGTTAGGGGTAAGAACGGACCGCGGGCTTAAAGTCCCCTCCGAAGGACTAATACACAATTAAAAAACTATATCGTGCGGCAGTGTAAATATTTAAAATACATCATTGACTACTCAAACATAATTTTACATTTTAAATTATCATTTTGTATTCGTTTACTCGCATCTACTAGGTATAAACGCATACGGCAGTGTAGTAGCTATTCGATAGCTAGACCGTGCTGCATTCAAATATGAAAAACTTCCCTTCTACATGTCGGGCCCACTCTAAATTTTTTTTTTTATTCAAAGGTAACATAATAAACTTGGATTTTATGCTACTTTAAAAAAAAATAAAAAATACACATTGTTTCAAAAAATGTAAAATTTTGCAAAATTTCAAAAAAAAATTGCAATTTTTATTTTTTTGCAAAACGGTATAGCCCATTGAAAAGTACGGAAAAAATCATTTAAGGTGGTTAAATTGAAATATTTAATAAAGAGATGAACAGAAGTTATGAATTTTTAAATAAAAAGCGATTTCACCAAAAAGTAAAAAATCGATAAATTTCAATAATCCATAACTCTTGAATGAACAATCCTAGAGCAAAAAAAATTTATGCTATGATTCTTCGTTATAAGAACAACAAATAAGTAAAGTTTAAACAAAATCGGTGACAAAAATTTTTTCACCTGGTACACTTGGCAAATTTTGCCCCTCATATGGATTTAATTATTACTCAATTAAACTTTTTAATCATCTCCCTTTAAAGATAAGAGATTTGGACGTTAAAGCCTTAAAATGTACAATTAAGAACTACTTACTGAATGGGGCCTTTTATAGCATTAGTGAATTCCTGAAAATGTTATAACATACATATATGTAGTCTCAAACTTATTTGTTTAATACTTATATTTATTTAGTTATCTAATATTGTAATATATAAATACCTATTTGACATTTGTAAAATACAGTTGTATTACTAGCAAGCAATAAATTATTATTATTATTATTATTATTATTATTATTATTATTATTATTATTATTATTATTATTATTATTATTATTATTATTATTATTATTATTATTATTATTATTATTACTTTAAAAATGTTTTTTTTTAATGTAAATTAGTCTAAAAATATCCTTTCTAAAAACATTTTTGAAAGAATCCAAATGTGTCTTGATATTGTCGCACAGTTTGGGACAATAATACTTCCAATTATCAAGCAACATGTAGGGAAAATTGGTCAGTTTCCGATACGCTTTACACGGGGTCTAATTGAAACTCGTTGTCTGTCCAGGTTACGAGTGGGTCGGCTGGCGAAATGACACACCTGGATGGGCCGGCCATCCTCTGGAGATACTCTTCCAATTCGACAAGGTTCGAAATTTCTCCGCAGCCCATCTGCATACCAACAATCTCTTCACCAAGGACGTTCAAGTAAGTAGTCAACAGTATACTGTGTCATTTTTATAAAAAAAAAGTGAGTAAGAAATAGTTATTTATGTCATTAGGTTAAGAAGTAATGCTTTTTGTAGCGGAGGCCTACAATTGAGCGAAGCACAAAAAGGCACTTCTTGGCCGAATGGCATACAACATTTTATATTCAAAGCACTTTATATACATAGGTCAATTTAATTCAACATCAAAGCGGCCTAACCTCACTTTTTTAGAATCTTATTTATTTATTAGCTAAGGATTACATTAAATGTACAATAATTATTATTGCTTTTAGAAGCAGTAATAGTTTGACAATACCTATCTACATGATTTAAGTAGAAATGGATTTTTGCTATTACATTGAATTCAATTAATTGTTTAATAAATAGGTAGGTATCTAATTTCAATTTGTTTGGATTTTTATTTAAAAAATAGGTGGTTTAAGCTGTGTTTAACATTTAATTTCACTGAAAACTTAAAGCAAATTAAAACTTAAAGATAATTTAAATCGTAGAAAAAGAATCGTGCGTTTTCTTGGTTGCCTAACCTCACTTTTTGTTTTATTATTCATATTTAATTTTACAATAATTTAATGAAAAATATTAAACATTAACAGTAAAACAAACAAATTAGTGCTTATTATAAATAAATTAAACCAGTTTAGTACGTTAATTTCTTAGAAACGGATTAATTTGTCAAAATAATACCGCTATCGAGAAAAAATCGAACTAATTACTTGCCTCATAAAATTTTGTATCGGCCTAGGCCATAACAAGGTATTTCTTTATCGAATGTTGACAACAATAAAGTTTAAATTATAGACCGCGTGGAGATAAATACAATTTTAATATTTAATTCAGTTTTTAAATTTCAAATTGTTATTAAATATGGTAATGGTTATGAAAACCCTCGATAAAATTAAATAATTTTTGCGGAGTACTCGATGTTACAATATAATTTATAATTATTTTATTCCAATTCGGATTATGAAGTGTACAAAATTAGATGCAAATTTATACATTTCTGTATTGGCTCGGTATCGCTGTCCAAATATAAATGTGGTTTAATTGTTTAATTAGCTGTATAAACGAAATAATTGATGATAATAAAAATCTAATTATCGGAATGGCGAGCCAATAATTTTGTATTTTTCTATATTATAATTTTCGGTCGGAAATCGACTACAATTTGGTTAAAAAGTTGCACGATGATCCTAATTAGTTATTGGAAAAAAATTAAAAGCTTGACATATCCATGTATATTTTTAAGTGTTGATTGTTTTTATCTTCATAAAAATTATTTTGAAAATGCTTTTAATGAATACATTAATCAATTAAATCTTCTACTTGATTTCTTGACAGTAAGCAAGCCTAAACGAAAATTCACTGAGAACGTTTTGGTTGACGTAGACCTTTGATTTAAGGTTGCCCCATAAGAAATAATCAAAAGGGGTTAGATCTGAAGATCTCGCTGGCCACTCTATCAGTCCTCGTCTGCCAATCCACCTTTCATGACAGGACGTGCTTAGTGCGAAGGTGCCCCGTCCTATTGAAACCAAATGGTATCACATGGTAGAACCTGACCCACATTCTCATTGGGAAACATTTCTGCTAATGTGGAAAGAAGAGAGTTTTGCAAAAATTCCAATAATGTCCTGTAATATTCTCGTCAAATAAGAAAGGACCTATGATCCGATTTTTCACCATTCCTGCCCAGACATTCACTTTTTGCCGGTATTGGAAATATGCCTCTACTATTCGATGAGTAATTTCTCTGCCCCAGTAGCTACAATTTTTACGGTTGACTGTACCATTCAAACAGAAGGTATCTTTGTCCGAAAAAAGTATTTTACGAGAAAATAATAATAACTCATCAGAGTTTTACAAAATTGTAGTCTACGGTTCGGATCATCTTTGTTAAATTCCTGCACTAGTCTAATTTTTATGGATGGTACTTCTCTTTCTTCATAAGACGTAATGACTTGACTTTCAGCTGCGACTATGCTAGAAGCACTGTGAGGATCTTCTTCCAAACGTAACAACATGTCAAATTTAGTGTCCACTAAAACTCGGACAGCATGGTTTTGGAATATCTTTGACATGTCCAGTATCTTTGAATTTCCTTTCAATTTTACTAACGGTATCACGAGTAATGCAAAATGCCAAAAGTTGGTTCACTTCCAACTGCTTAAATCTGAACGTCCAAAAAAACTGACAAGTTATTTTCTCGCTTGGAAGACATCAGGATCTGGCTCTGTGTGAAGTTAAATTTCTAGGAACTAAAATTAATACAGAGTTAAGATTTGAAGCCCATGTCAATTTTATTTCCCCTAAAATATGCAAAAACATTTTCCTTTTAAAAATATTATATAATAATGTAAATATAAAACTGTGTTATTATTATTATTAATATTATATTATTCTTTAATACACACAAATAGGGTCTTTGGACTTCAGAGGAGAGCAGTTAGGATTTTGGCCAATGTTTCTTACAGAACCGATGCCAAACGGCATTTATGGACAATTATATACTTACTCTGCCTTGTTGTTATATATTGAAATGCCTTATACAGCCAGTTCAGATTAAAACCGAATATATCTATATATATATATATATATATATATATATATATATATATATATATATATATATATATATGGGGCGTGGCCTCGCCTCCCTCCAAGGCGCGTCACAGTAGCTTGTGTGATAAACGACATGACGAAAGGTCGAGCAGGTAAGGACTTAAAAAATTAAAAGATAATAATGCAAAAAATCTCATTAGCGATGCAGGCTATTTGATCAGCTAATGTGTCGCGCGTTGGAGGGAGGCGAGGCCACGCCCCATATATATATATATATATATCTATATTCGGTTTTATTCTGAACGGGCTGTATATGCAAGGGTAAATCAGTATACATATTATAAAGAAGCCAAGTTCACAGCCATAACGCAAGACATAATAATGATCTAAACATCAAATTTATTGCGTTTGAAAAGATCGTGGAACGCCACTCGTTACTATGTACCTACTTTTTACAATAAGTTACCTGACAGAATAAAAACTCTGAGTTTAAAATTTTTTAAACAAACTATTAAAACGTACCTGCAAAAAAATGCTTTTTATAGTATACAGGAGTTTTTAAACAGTGATTTGCGTAATGCGTTTATTTAATGATTCCTTTTTTGATTGTATCGTTTTGTAACATTACGGAATACAATTTTTAATGTGTAATATTTGTACTAACATATTTTGAATTTTATTGTTATTTTCATGCTTTATTTAAATCTATTTTGTATTTTTCTGTTTTGTGCAAAAGTTTGTACAAATTTAATGCATGAATAAACTATCTATCTATCTAACTAATCTAATAGATCGTGCTGGATATTTTGAATTACTTTGCATTAAACTCCTTTTAGTGTTCTAGTTTTATTGCCACATCCTATAAAAATTTAAGCAATTGTCTGTGTTTTCGTTAAATGGACCATATTTAAATAGGATTCCCAGAATCTTGGATTTTTGTTTTTTTCTTAAAAAATCACTGAACGTGTGAATTTTTCATAATCTTTTGGATACCTTCAGTGAGTCATTTTGCAATTTTTAACCTTGTTGCCAAATTTCCAAAAATTCCCTGACTCTAGGAATTTTTCAAAATTGTTGGATACCTTCAGTAACTTACTGACAGTAGGTAAGTCATCTTGCAATATTTAGTGTTGCCAAATTATATACATATATACAGAAATTCTGACATGTATTCGCTAAGTGTTTGTTTTTTTTTGCCTTTCAGGCAGCAACAGATCGATATGATTTTTCTCTGAACTGTCTAAAATTGTTCTAAAAACTTATTACTCTTTGTCCTCTATTTCATTGATTGCCAGAAATAAAATTATATAATATAATAATTTTATGAACTGGTGAAATACAAACTACATGTTTAGTAGTTCGTGGGTCAAAGGAGCTGTGGAGTGGCGTATAGAAATGTTTCGGGCCAACTTCACAGCAAAGTTCAAAACGGACCAAATTACTAGTAAGCCAGTTATTCACGTAATAACCGGACCGGAAACTGCATGTATGTGCGAATTTAAAGCAATTGCAGATATACGAAACAGGTTGATCTGTAACACAGAAAACAATAAGACACATTTTCAGTCATTGTCGCGTCACGCTCCTAATCCCTTTAGGTAAATTGTGTAAATGGGATTGAATATAATTTACCTACTAGTGCAACTTTGATAAAGTGCTGTGTTGGGGATTGAGTTAGAGACAATGGCAGCTACACATTGCAGGAGATATCCTCTGTTATTTTACGTTACGCTGCTGAGGCTTAACGGTCCCAACACACCCAAGTTTGAGTAAATAAAATGTTTTTTCTACTCCCACCTTTAAAACGCCCATTATCGTACATGTTTTTCATAACACTAAGTGATCTTTTAAATACACACTGACAAGCTATGGCTTTAATGCTTAATGCCCATAAAACATTCTCTTTACTTTCACTGTTAAAAACTGCTTTTATATCAGATTTAAACGGCTGTTAGTCCATCAAGGGATACATTTGGATTTACACAGAAAAATTTGACATTTTTCGCCGGTAATACAGATTCCCATTCTTACGGTTACTCTATTTTTGTATAGATGTCGCTCTATAAAATATCTCAGTAAATAGGCATTTTACGAAAAAAAAGGAATAAGAAAATTAAATAATTTAAGGAGGTAAATAAATTATTACCAAAATTATTACCAAATTTTATCCGAAATCACATTTAATAATACTAAGAATTAATATTGAGGATTAAATCAAATGTCATTTGATGATCAAATAAAATGTTATTTGAATGTAGGAAGTGTCTACGTATACTGTTGCGATGGTTATTATATATTTGCCCGCCGCGGCGATTTTTTAATCTAATTAATAAAATTAACTTATTATTTTTATAAAACAACATTTTATGAAAGGGTCCAATCGACCAGCAGTAGACACATCTAAAAATGTATAATGGGTTGCATACAATATTCGTATTAGTAGAACTTAACTGCCGATTGTTGACTACTTTACAGCCGATTTCGAATAATAGTTATTTATGTATCAAGGCAGTAAAGTTCTACTTTACTGCCGATTTATTTTACTTTACTGACGATTTTTTGAACGTTTTTTCATTATTAAACAAAAGGGATTTAAAAATATTTTCTCGAAAAAACCTCGAACACGTAAACTGAGATATAAGTTGAAGTATTTTTAGATTTTTTTACAGTTGTTGCAATAATTATGGCCGATACTGTATATTAATAATATCTTGTTAATTTTTAGGCCTCGGTGCCAGTTTTATTGTAAACGGTTTTAAGGTCAAAAAAAACTTTTATGTTTTATATTTTTTAGCTTTATATCACTTTTTTTATTTTAGTAGTATACACGGAGAGAAAAGTATAATGCTGATTACCATAATTATAATACCCGTTACTGTAATTTATATTACTATTTGGGACAACTACAAGATATCTTGTATATTGCGAGATACTATGCATATTTAGTAATTTTTAAATATCCATGTATGTTAAACCTTAAGGTAAAATATTATTATTCTCAACCAATTTTTTTTTTTTTAATTCTTATTATAATTAGATTTTTTCCATTACTAATAAGGATGGTAAATTTTAAAATATTATGTTGCCATCTTAAATATAAAATATGTTAAAATCGAATATTTTTATATGTTAACAATTAAAATTTGTAACATATTTATTGTACTTTTTAATATACAAAAATGTTATGAGAAAGAATTGAACATACACCTCGCCAAAGTTTTTTGTTTTGAGTGGGTTCCATCAACTTCAAATACCGACAGACAGGTGTTTTGACCTATATTGGGTATCATCAGTGTCGACACGACAATGTCGAGCAACTTGTAGTAGTGGAACACACCCCAAACAAAGAAATACCTGAGCTTATATAACATGGTTGGTAAGCCAACAGAGGCGAGATGTAAGAACATCACGTGATCCACACCGTCTAACGACGCATCGCGACGTGGCCTTTGCCGCAATCGGTACATACTATGCAACAAAGTAGGATCAATTCTTTCTTATAAGTATTACCAGAATTTCAAGAAAGTTTATAAAAGAAACTAAGAAAATTTAATGTTTAAAATTGCTTATTATGTTTAAATATATTGTTTATTTACCTTAAACATAAAAGTATCTTTATTTTTACTATATTTTTTATTAATGTGTAATATATTATAATATTAGATGTACACCTTATAAGAAAACAGTTTGTTTTTTATAAAGCAGTTTTATTTATATATAATAAATGCTTTATTGCATATAGGGTTAATAAACATCCCATTTAAATGTAATAAAGCGTTTGTTTTTGTATGTTTCTTAATAAATAGTATATTTATTTTTTACTACGATCTTAAAATATTAATAATTAAAATACATTTATCAAAAGTAAAAAAATTATTTATTTAAAACAAATTTATACCATATTGCATAAAAATAAAACCTGTTAATAATAAACAAATTTAAAGCAATAAAAAATTAATATTTATTTATTTTAAAACAATGAATTTGTTAATAAATAACAAATTTTAAATAATAAAAAATGTTTCAATATTTATAATAATAATGTATATAGTTGTTCTTCTAAATACGCCAATGTTATTTGTGTTTCCTGTCTTTAAGATCGGTCATTTGATTTTGTACAAAATGACTATTCAATGTCATGACTTAAAGTTGGTTCGTTTAAAGGGTTTGCTAATAAACGTTTGGAGTATGGACAACACCATGGTTGGCCATTTTCATTTATTGTAAACAGCAGGAATCTTCTGTTAAAAAAACAACTGACGCCTCTTCTATTCTAAAATAAAAATTTGGAAATAAACAAAAAAATATATATAGCGAAGATCTCTTTAACTAAGAATATCACAACAGAATGTAATCATTGCAATGATGCATTAAAAATCACATTTTAGTTGCTACTTTGGAAGTTTGAACCTGATGGTAAATATTCCGTCATAAAGCTTTTCATTTATTAAAATCATTGTTAACATTTTAAAGAAGAAAAAAACTGTTATAAATTACCTTTACAATTGGACACAACATCACTTAAACCGAGATCGATAAGAAAGTCCTTTAAATCCATTTTTTACAGGTACTTCACTACTTCACAACATAAAACTAAAACTAATGATGCTTACGCGAGGGCGTGAAATAAGTAAATAACGTATTTTAGGGCATATTTAGCAAATTTTGCAAAATATATTTATTAATAAAAAATGATTTATTATTTTTTACTTAACACAGCTTTATTGTAAACAAAACGTGTAACATTTAATAAAGAAAACATATTCAACAATAAACATGTATTTCTTACAAATGCATTATTTATTAATTAAAATTGTATCATTTGTTTTATGGAAGTTGGACAAAATATATTTATTTATTTAAAAATATGATTTATTTTTAATTAATAGATATATCTATGTTTTAAATGTATTAATCCGTTTGGTTTTTATAAAGAAATATTTATTTCTTTTAAGCAAACTCAATAAAACAATTGGCATATTAAATAAAAATATATTAATTTTGCCGTATTGAAATAATAAACAAATATTTGTTATTCAAAAACAATATTTTTTAATTATAACTGAAAACTACCAAATATATGATTTGTTTATTATAATAGTATGATTTCTCTCAGTGTACATTTTATTAAATCATATGGTAAATTTTAAAATATTATGTTGCTATCTTAAATATAAAATATGTTAAAATCGAATATTTTTATATGTTAACAATTAAAATTTGTAACATATTTATTGTACTTTTTAACAAAAATGTTATGAGAAAGAATTGAACATACACCTCGCCAAAGTTTTTGTTTTGAGTGGGTTCCATCAACTTCAAATACCGACAGACAGGTGTTTTGACCTATATTGGGTATCATCAGTGTCGACACGACAATGTCGAGCAACTTGTAGTAGTGGAACACACCCCAAACAAAGAAATACCTGAGCTTATATAACATGGTTGGTAAGCCAACAGAGGCGAGATGTAAGAACATCACGTGATCCACACCGTCTAACGACGCATCGCGACGTGGCCTTTGCCGCAATCGGTACATACTATGCAACAAAGTAGGATCAATTCTTTCTTATAAGTATTACCAGAATTTCAAGAAAGTTTATAAAAGAAACTAAGAAAATTTAATGTTTAAAATTGCTTATTATGTTTAAATATATTGTTTATTTACCTTAAACATAAAAGTATCTTTATTTTTACTATATTTTTTATTAATGTGTAATATATTATAATATTAGATGTACACCTTACATTTTATTAAATCATATAGTAAATATTACCTACTATTTGTAGATAGTAAAATAAATTTACTATACGAACATATTAAAAATTAAAATATATATTATACATTTATGATTTAGTAATATTGGTGTTGTAATCTTTACTAAAATTGTATAATAAAAAATACTATTTTGTATTACAATCTTAATATTGGAGTGACGAATATATAATATTGTTACCCTAAAAATTTGTTAAAGTAAATTTTACTATATTTTTTTACTATGTAAAATTTACTATACATTTCTCTCTGTGTACAGAGGAGAAATTGAACAAAATTAATTTTTTTTATTACAACGCCATATTTTACAAATATGAAAAAATGTTTTAGGCAATGTTTTAGTCAAATGATCAAAATCTAAAAAGTAGGGTTTCATTGGAAATGTTAAAGTAATCCCAATAAAATCAATATTCCATATAAACATATTATAAGTTGATGGCATTTTTTATAAAAAGATATTTCCACTTGTTTATCATATTTTTTATTTCAGGTGTTTTCCCATGCAAGAGCCTTCTTTAGCTTCAATGGCAACATTTTTAATGGAGAGCCTGTCCATTTTTCCTACATGCCAGATTTGGTTTTGGAGCATGCCAGAAATGTTACCATCAAACTTCATAATAGGATTGGAAAATTTCTTAAGCTACATCTGTACTTTGCTTCCAGATGGATACTTATCAGTGAAATATCATTTGACTCAGGTATGTTTGTCACTTTGATTTTTATATTTTGAGGTTGACTTTCTTGTTGAAAATTGTTCATATTTATTGACCTAAGTAATTAAATCCCTGCACAATGCAAAATAAATCATTCGCTGGAGTTTAAAACGTCTTAAACACAAATCAGTTTACCTAATTGCTATAAATCAATAGCAGAGGCTTTAGTTTGATTAATTCGTTTTATGACGTAACACCAAATCTCCCACGGCAAAACAATAAGTCAACTTGAAAACTTGAACACAAAAAACGAACTAAACGTCCATGTCGGTTAATTTAGAATCCATTTTGAGCAAGATTTATGGCTCTAAATACCAACTTGTGTAACAACAAAATGTACTACAAAAATAGTAGGAAAACGATCTAAATTTTAAATAAACTAAAAAACGTCTCCTATGAAATATTTCCTAATAAATCCCCAGTAAAATATTTTCTGTCACCGATAATGGCGCCCATATTTTAAACTTTAATATCCGCCCTGCATTGTTACTTTATCATACAAGGACTCAATTTGTTTACGCATAAAAAACTCTGACCGCTTAGAGCAGCCTGGAAGCACCTATGAATTTATACTCTCAGCTATCTATTAAAATATATGGCTCTTAAAAAACATCGCAAGTCATAAAATACGGAGTGCATATTTTCCGAGACGCTTTCTATGGGGTAAATGTTGTATGAAGCAGCTAACAAGCTTTCGCTATAATGAAGAAGCACTAAATCATTCATATGGAGGAGCATGACAATGTGAAGCGTTTCTGATACGGCAGACGTTGCGATTTTTCCTCTCTCAACTTTAATAATTTAACTAAATTTTGACATTGTAAGTACACAGTAAGTTTACAACCAACTGTAATCTGTTAACTAATTGAATAAGTACGAGGTGTTCAGAAAATATCGGGAATTTATTTATTCGTCTACATTAATGTTGTCGCCTTCAAAATAGTCCCCATTGGATATTATGCACATGTGCCAGCTCTTCTTCCAATTCTCGAAACACTTCTAAAACTCGATCTTTGGGATAGCCTTTAGCGATGCGCTTTTAATGTCATCTATGCTTGCAAAACGACCGCCCTTTAAGGTTCTTTTTATTTTTGGGAATAGGAAAAAGTCAGACAGAGGCATGACTGGCGAATATGGAGGCTGGGGCATCATTACAGTATTGTTTTTGGCCAAAAATGTTGTTCAAAATTTAACAATTTTAGAACAAATTTGGCTGCCAAGCGTTTCATACCCAAAACATTCGAAAAAATTTCATGGGTTGAGCCAATCAATATACCAACATCATCAGTGACTTCACTGATGGTTTATAACCATTTCTTCCACTTTTTCCATGTTTTTATCGGTTGTTAATGCGCTTGGGCGTTCGGGGCCTTCGTCATCTTCAACGTCTTCACGGCCATCTTGGAAACTCTTATACCACTTGTAAACTCTTGTTTTACTTATAGCAGACTCACTATAGGCCTTTGTTAACATTTCACAGAATTTATTTCATTTTTTAAGCAAAATTGGATACAAATTCTTTGATCCTTTTCTTTTAACGAACGAAAAATCGCCGAGCTCATAAAACACGTCTAACCTTAGCGGCTGCCACAGACAAAGTAAACAATGAAAACAGCCAAAATTTTTATCATACTTCGGGGGCATGTATACCTACATAATAAAGAAAATTTTATGACAACCGGACCCTCTGAACCCGCGAAATTTAACAATTCCCGTTATTTTCTGAACACACCTCGTATATGTATTTCGGTTAATTGACAAAACTTATAAAGATGTTTGTAATTCGTTGGGAGGAAATAAAATGCATTGATTTAATACATATAAAAACTTTCAAATAAGTAGCTTAAAATTTTAATTCTAAATGGTAAATAACTTATCTTGACTACTATGAAAATATTGTTTTGCACCATAATTTTCCGCGTTTTGCATTAACACACCTATGTTATATATCGTATACCTACATTTTAGTAAGTACTTTAGCATTAGTCCGTTCCTACCCCTAACCCGCACAAGCCATTCAGTTGGCTTATGGGACTTCTTAAGGAGTAAGGGTGGAACTAAAAGAGCACTTTTGTATATTATTATTAATAGAAATTAGGCGCTTCTCACAAAAACAACCATGGTCCAAATTGTTATTCACGTACAAATATATTTTAAATTTTGAGGCAGTAATCATTAATTTAGTAGGATAATGTATATTCAATTAAAAATACAAACTTACCACTAATCATTAGGTTAAATCAGCCCAAGTTTATCTTTATGTTATGATTGTTTATGTAAACACAAACTGAGTTCTATCTTAAATGGTAATTAAACTTTAATTATACCCTATAATTTATACGTACCTATTTATAATTTAAGCAATATTTAATGCAAAACTACCAGGAGGGTTTGACAAATTGTGTTCCTGACCAAAAGCGCTAAAACTATACTCTCTAAAAATGAATGAGTCAAAAATGACTAATTACTACAGTTATTAGTGCAGCCAATTCTTATGTAAAATTGTCCTCTGAATCCGAAAATACTGTCAAAAATTAAAAAAAGTAGAGCGGTTTTTGAGATAAAGTCAATTCCATTTTATATGTCAAATTGACTATATCTTATAAACTGTTCTACTTTGATAAATTTTCACGACATTTTCGGATTCAGGGGTCAATTTTACATAAAAATTAACTGCTTAATGTTCGGGATAAAAATTGCTATTGACGAGAATTATTAGAGCTATGACAATAAGTCATTTTTGACTAATTCATTTTTAGAGAGAGCAAAAAATTGAATAAACTCATATCCGTTTTTAACAACACTTGAGGATTGAACGTACACTGTTTAAAACATCTGTGGCGTGAAAAGTAATCTTAAAATGGTGTCAAAATCCAACACCAAGTGGTGTTAATATAACACCATGAATTATGGTTAAAAATACAGCAAACACCAAAACGGTATTTATCTAAAAATATTTGAGAAGTGCACCTACACAGAAAAAAAGGAATATTTAACTATATTAATTTAGTTGACCCATAAGTATTTATTTAAATCAACTTTAATATAAACAAAGATTAGTTTGACGGTACTAAACCAGAAGTTATTTATTTTATTTGTTTTTTAAATTGGTTAAATTAACCCAGAAAAATTTAGTGAAACCAACCCGCGGTATGGTTCAGTTTACTAAATATGTTGTTTGTAAAATAAGAGTTACTTCAACCATTCCTGGTTGCATAGTGTGTACCGATCGCGGCAAAGGCAGTGTGGGTCACGTGATGTTCTTAAATCTCGCCTCTGTTGACTTACATGAAGAGTATATATTGCTTTGGTGTGACACTACAAGTTGTTCGATACTAAAGAGACCTTAAATAGGTGGAAACAGCTGTCAATATTTAAAGTATTTTAAGTTGGTGGAACGCACTATCGCATTATCTCTAGCGAGTTGAAGGTTCAATTTTCTGGAATAATACCACTGGTAATATACTTGTAATGCGTCAAGGAACTTCCTGTTTCCTTTTTTTCTGTGTAGTATGATTTAATTTGACCAAAAACACATTATATTTAACACTGAAAAGGAGTTCAATTTTCACCAGGTAAAATTTATTTTAATACTGTGTGAAAGTTAAATTTACACCATTTTAGTATTTGAATTTACACTGGACCAACGAACCATATTTAACACCATTTTGGTTTGTATCGATATAGACCATGTATGATGTTAATTTGGTGTTAAAATGGTCATGAAATTTTGAACAGTGTAGGACCACTGATTTTCTGGTTATTTAAATAGCCCTCTGTAAACTTAATTTTTGGTCGTAGGTTACAAATCCGTGCTTGTTTTAGCTGTATCAGGTCAACATTCAAATATATTGAAAACACTCTGTAAAAATTTAAATACCCTGTATAAATTAAAAAAAAAATAATTTGGCTGGATCCATACATCAGTTCCAAATTAAAAAAGTTAATTGATCAAAAGGTCCCTGAGAGTTTTTTATAGATAATTTAGGAAATTCAAAATGTTTTTTGCTATTTTTTTAACGAACTAAATTATTTATTTTATAACTTAATTACACTTAAAACACTAAGAAACTATAAAACTAACTAAACACTTAACTACTAATTATTTATATATCACTACTGTACAAGAGTCTATTTATTTGCACCTAAATTTCATTTATTTTGACTCTACGACTCAATGCGTACGTGACACACGTCACGCAAGCGCCTTCCCGAACATTCCAGCGAGCTCCACACCGCTCTCGATCGCTCGCGTCATCATTCCGAGATCCAGAGCGGCAGTCGCTACATTACTTTAAATAAACATTTTTGTTTGTTTAAAGTTTAATTTTATTTAAATTGTATAAACTAATACTTGGAAATTAGTAATTCAATATTGTAAAATGCTTAATTTAACATGCAAAACTTAACAAATCTAAAACTCTTTCTTCTTTGTTAAACATTAAAAAATAATCTGTATCCTTTAAAATTAACAAAATATTTTCCTTTGTTAAAATAATTACAAACCCTGGTTTTCTACAAAAAATTGTGTTAAATTTTATAAACTTCGAACTCATGTTAACAGATTTGATTTTTAAAAGTGTGACTTAACTCATTTTTAGAAAGAGCAAAAAATTAAATAAACTCATATCCGTTTTTAAAAACACTTGAGGATTGAATGTAGGACCACTGTTTTTTTAAAACACCCTGTATAAAATTAAACACCCTGTATAAATTTAAAAAAAATAATTTGGATGGATCCATACATCAGTTCCAAATTAAAAAAAAAAACAATGTATTGCAAAATTTGAAGTTAATTGATCAAAAGGTCCCTGAGAGTTTTTTATAGATAATTTAGGAAATTCAAAATATTTTTTTGCCATTTTTTTAACGAACTAAAATATTTATTTTATAATTTAATTACACTTAAAACACTAAGAAACTATAAAACTAACTAAACACTTAACTACTAATTATTTATATATCACTACTGTACAAGAGTCTATTTATTTGCACCTATATTTCATTTATTTTGTCGCGAGTACCAAAGCTTGACTCTACGACTCAATGCGTACGTGACACGTCACGCAAGCGGCTTCCCGAACATTCCAGCGAGCTCCACACCGCTCTCGATCGCTCGCGTCATCATTCCGAGATCCAGAGCGGCAGTCGCTGCATTATTTTAAATAAACATCTTTGTTTGTTTAAAGTTTAATTTTATTTAAATTGTATAAAACTAATACTTGAAAATTAGTAATTCAATATTGTAAAATGCTTAATTCAACATGCAAAACTTAACAAATCTAAAACTCTTTCTTCTTGGTTAAACATTAAAAAATAATCTGTATCCTTTAAAATTAACAAAATATTTTCCTTTGTTAAAATAATTACAAACCCTGGTTTTCTACAAAAAATTGTGTTAAATTTTACAAACTTCGAACTCATGTTAACAGATCTGATTTTTATAACAGTGTACAATAAAACCATTTCAGTTGGGGTCAGGGGACAATTTTACATAAAAATTTACTGCTAAACCTTCGGGATAAAAATTGATATTGACGAGAATTATTAGAGCTATGACAATTAGTCATTTTTGACTAATTCATTTTTAGAGAGAGCAAAAAATTGAATAAACTCATATCCGTTTTTAAAAACACTTAACGATTGAATGTAGGACCACTGTTTTTTGAAAACACCCTGAATAAATTTAAACACACTGTATAAATAAAAAAAAATAATTTGGCTGGATCCATACATCAGTTCCAAATTAAAAAAAAACAATGTATTGCAAAATTTGAAGTTAATTGATCAAAAGGTCCCTGAGAGTTTTTTATAGATAATTTAGGAAATTTAAAATATTTTTTTTGCTATTTTTTTAACGAACTAAATTATTTATTTTATAATTTAATTACACTTAAAACACTAAGAAACTATAAAACTAACTAAACACTTAACTACTAATTATTTATATATCACCACTGTACAAGAGTCTATTTATTTGCACCTATATTTCATTTATTTTGTCGCGAGTACCAAAGCTTGACTCTACGACTCAATGTGTACGTGAAACGTCACGCAAGCGCCTTCCCGAACATTCCAGCGAGCTCAACACCGCTCTCGATCGCTCGCGTCATCATTCCGAGATCCAGAGCGGTAATCGCTGTATTTAAAATAAACATTTTTGTTTCTTTAAAGTTTAATTTTATTTAAATTGTATAAAACTAATACTTGGAAATTAGTAATTCAATATTGTAAAATGCTTAATTCAACTTGCAAAACTTAACAAATCTAAAACTCTTTCTTCTTTGTTAAACATTAAAAAATAATCTGTATCCTTTAAAATTAACAAAATATTTTCCTTTGTTAATAGTATATTAAAGTACAAGTTGCAGAAGGCCACATATTCTCGCACGAATTCGAAATTTGGCCTCGAGCGACGAAGGAGCGAGTGGACGAACGAATGAGTGCGAGAATAGCCTTCTGCAACGTGTGATTTATACTATTTTCTCGATTTTAACTTTTATTTAGGTTTTTTTAATTGTTTTGTGGTCGTTGTTAGTTGGGGGATTTTTCTCGCAAAATGTCAGTTGGCAACACAAAATGACAATATTTGTTATCCTGCATAAGTACAACCTGAACTGCACTTTTTCACATTAAACTTAAAATTTTGCATTAAAATGCATTGTTGGAGCAAACTTAATATTACAAAACAATAATAAAGGCTTCAAGTAATGAATTTGAGGTTATTAAACAGTTTGACATTTTGGGGGTACCAATACTTAAAAACTAAATGTTACCAAAAATCGTTTAAGAATGAGCTTCATTCTTCAACGATTTTGCGTGCGAGAATATGACATTCTTACATAAAAATCGAGAAAATAATTACAAACCCTGGTTTTCTACAAAAAATTGTGTTAAATTTTACAAACTTTGAACTCATGTTAACAGATTTGATTTTTAAAAGTGTACAATAAAATCATTTCAGTTGGGTTCAGGGGACAATTTTACATAAAAATTGACTGCTAAACCTTTGGGATAAAAATTGCTATTGACGAGAATTATTAGAGCTATGACAATTAGTCATTTTTGACTAATTCATTTTTAGAGAGAGCAAAAATTGAATAAATTCATATCCGTTTTTAAAAACACTTGAGGATTGAATGTAGGACCACTGCAAAATTTGAAGTTAATTGATCAAAAGGTCCCTGAAAGTTTTCTATAGATAATTTAGGAAATTCAAAATATTTTTTTTGCTATTTTTTTAACGAACTAAATTATTTATTTTATAATTTAATTACACTTAAAATACTAAGAAACTATAAAACTAACTAAACACTTAACTACTAATTATTTATATATCACTACTGTACAAGAGTCTATTTATTTGCACCTAAATATCATTTATTTTGTCGCGATTACCAAAGCTTGACTCTACGACTCAATGCGTGCGTGACACGTCACGCAAGCGCCTTCCCGAACATTCCAGCGAGCTCAACACCGCTCTCGATCGCTCGCGTCATCATTCCGATATCCAGAGCGGCAGTCGCTACATTATTTTAAATAAACATTTTTGTTTCTGCTTAATTCAACATGCAAAACTTTACAAATCTAAAACTTTACAAATCTAAAACTCTTTCTTCTTTGTTAAACATTAAAAAATAATCTGTATCCTTTAAAATCAACAAAATATTTCCCTTTGTTAAAATAATTACAAACCCTGGTTTTCTACAAAAAATTGTGTTAAATTTTACAAACTTCGAACTCATGTTAACAGATTTGATTTTTAAAAGTGTACAATAAAATCATTTCAGTTGGGGTCACCGGTAACTTCACGGAAGCGGAAGAGGACGCAGCTCAACCGGAAGCGGGCAGCAAAGAGTACCCGCTGCAAAGAGACGAGGTGAAATACGTTGCTAAACCGAGCAACAACTTATCCCCGTCGTTGACGAACCTCGGTCCCGCCACCGAAACCAAAAACGGATCGAATGAAGAAGATTCGAAATACTACATCGGCCTCGTTATCGGATGCCTGACGGTCGTGATATTGATCCTGGTGGCCGCGATTGTGTTTATTGTTTTTCGAAATCAAAGGATCAAGAACGGCGGTGAGCTGCACGACGAAGAAGGCCTGGGCCGGCCGCCCTCGATAAGGCACGACATAAAGAGAAACGGGACAGATGAAAAGGTTTGGCTTTTTCTATTGCTCTAGTTTGATACTTTTTTGTTGTGTTGTGTTGGGTTTGATTGTCTTGTTGCGCCGATTGAAATAGTTTCGAGACAACTTTTCGACGATACGAAAAGAATTGTAATTTAATTTGATTGAGGGAGTAGGTTAAGCTTCCATTGGTCTTGATTTAAAATAGCAGAGGGGCTTTTCCATCTCGAATCGATCAGCAAAAAGGGGTAGGTCGTTATTTTTTAACAAATTTTTTGTACAGTTAGGAAATTTTTGAAAAATCTGCAGAAATATCTATTTTTCTCTTTTTACGAGTGACATTTTTTCTTGAAAATGCGATAACTTGACCGGTTTCACCGGGATTGACTTTTTAATTAAACACCCTATATGTCATCCGTCAATTGTTGACAGGTCAAATCATTTTTTTATTAAATTATATTTTTATATCTAGTGTCTTAAGTTTAAGTCACATAAAAATGACGCCAAAAACTGATTGCAGTTTCTTTTTCGGGACCCTTTGGTGAATTAAAAATGATATTTACCAAAATCCTAGCTGATCATCTTTTCGAAATTTTTTGAAAATTCATGATTTCTTTTAAATTTTTGTTTATCTTAATGTCTACCTTTGACAGAGTACACATTTGTACACCGATTTTTATATTGGAGTTAAGGAGATTTGGAGAATACTGTTCACATAATTTGATATATACAGGGTGAGCCAAAAATCGCTTATTTTTAATAAAGCAAAAGCGTAAATTCATGATTTTGGCATAACACGCAAAACAGATGTATCCCCATTTTTTTTTTAGATATTTCTACGTTTATTAGGTTACAAAATGGCATTCTTATTAGCCGTTTATTAAAAAAAAAGATTTTTAATTAAATAAAATAAAATAACGATAACGAATATTTAAAATGTTGTTTAATTTAGGCTTTTTAGTTTTCAATTTTGAACGAAAAACTGGTTAAAGTTTTTTTATCGGCACTCTTTGGAGATTTAAAAACGATGTTTACCAAAATTCTAACTGCTTTTCTTTAAATTTGTTAAAAAATCATTTTTTTTTAATTATTTGTTTATCGCAAAGTCTACCTTTGCCAGAGTACACATTTGTACACCGATTTTTATTGATTGCAGTTTCTTGTTCGGGACCCTTTGGTAACTTTAAAATGATATTTACCAAAATCCTAGCTGCTCCTCTTTTCGAAATTTTTTGAAAATTCCTAAACGTTAAGGAACTCCTCATTATACAAATATAGGTACTATAATAGGTACTATAAAACCTCACTTACGTAAACATGTCTCACCTTCGTTAGCTTTTAACCCTTAACTAGTCGCGCAGGTGCACTGAGTGCTCCGTTTTTATTAAAACCTCTATAACTTTTTGTCGTTTTCTTGGAATTAAATGCCCTTTTCATGTAACCTATGACTGATTTGTCTACCATGCACTGTCGACGGCATATTCAGTTTAAACTACTAATTTCAAAGTTATGGACAGAAAACTTGAGATTGATTTAGAAATACTTCACTAAAACGTAACTAAATTTCAATTTTTGCAATGTAAAATATTTCTAAATCAACAAAATATGGAATTTAAAACCTAATGGTTTTTAAGGTATACATTTTTCTAAGAATACACAAATAAAAATAGAACGGCTAAATTTCATTCTGATTTCTTCTTTTCTGAGTAGAAGTAATAACTTTTTTGTTTGTTTTATTTTTTGTTATTTGCTTTTTGTTTCTTTTTAAAATAAATATTGTGTTTTAATAAAAATAGAGTTAATTCATCCGAATATAAGCAAAAGTAATATTAAAATTGAAAACATTCAGCAATATAGCCATTTTAAGGAGCGAAGCACTTAGTGCACCGCGCGACCACTTATGTTACAAAAATTGGCGCGAGTAGTTAAGGGTTAATAGCAGTGAGATTAACGGGTGTGAGGTTTTTATTCAAATTTCCCGCTATTGACCTGTCTACTGGTTCATATTATTTAAACATGTAATTATATTTATTAATATCTAAAATTAATTTTTTTTTAAGAATTTTTGCAAAATAGGTAAAATAGCATAAAGAACTCATGTCATAAGACCTTTTGTCGCACTCGTCAATTACATATTTTCCGCGTTCAACAAAATGACGTCTTATGATATTAGTTCTTTAATATACTATTACGCCAAAACCATTTTCATTAAAACCAAAATAATTCCGAAACGACGAATTTAGCCAACTCTGGACTTTTGGTGAAAGTTCATATTATGAACTTCAAAAAATATAAAGTAAAAAAAAATGTGGCAATGTCAAAATTTTAATTGCCTTTTTCAGAAAAAACAATCGCATTTACAAGAAAAAATGTCACTCATAAAAAAACGATGTTTCTGCAAAGAATGCTGTGCTTATTTACTATAGAAAGTGTAGTCGCAAATTTAGGAAGAAACAATGTTTTTGCACCATTTAAAAAGCAATTCAGGCTAATAGCCAAGTTGGCGTCTTGGAGCAGTAAACAGGGTCCTATTATATACATACCGACATTCCTAATGCATGCAGCCAGATAAGGAGCAGAGGTAAGAATAATTTCTCCTGTGGGTATTCCAAAGGTTATCTTAATTTCACTTCTCTTTGAACACCTCGCCTCATCTCCATGAAGCTTGCTATGAAATTCCCAATTAAGATTATTGATAATGTTGAAGCGCCGTATATTAATTTCCATTGAATTTCTAATGAATGTTGTTGTGTTTCGATGTGTTTGTAGATTATGTTGGATGCAGACAAGTCCGTGCTCTACGTGGAATCCTTCAGGCCGCCCAGTTTGCTGAGCCAGCCTCAGATTGCTAGATGTGAGCCGGATTATTCAGGTACACAATAAACAATTTTGCCCGTGTAAATTTTTTAGTGTAGGGGTAAAAATATTAGAGTGGATTTGTAAGTGTAAAAGTTACACTACAAAATACACTAGTAGCATTTAGTGCTTATTAACTTTATTAAACACATTTAAAGAATATGAACATTATTCATTGGTACATTCACACTATTTATTATTAAAATAAATCAAAAGGGTAGAAAAACTTAATGCGAGTGTTTATTACCTTAATGTGTTAAATAGTGACAAAATGTCCACTACAGTGCATGCCAATTTCTTCTGTCTGTTTTGATGTTACTAAGAGCTCTTTTTTCTTTACACTAGTGCACATTGTATCACAATTAAAGTTAAATTACACCAATAGTGGCAAAATAGACTGAAAAACTGGTAATAACCGAAATGCGTTTTAAAATGTTTGGTTGGTACCTATCTACCTACGCAGTGTGACATTTTTGTTCAGTTAGATTTTAATTATGGTGAATCCATAAGGGGACATTCTTATATTTGGTAAGTCCTTTTTCTTTAAGCCTTAATACTCAATAAATACCAATATGTTAAAAGGATGTCCATACCCGACCTATATTATATATCAATAATTTACGGCAGTAGGTCGGGTTCTTGTAACATTAATAATATAAATACATACACACTTGATTTACTTTTTATTTTCAAGCGTAATGGTTGTTTTATTAACCTATACGTACATTTTTATTAATATTATAAAAAATTTGTACACGTGTGGTAAATCCCCGACATACAGCCGCCTGACGCCTCTACCAATGGGATCACCCATTTTTTATAACAGAAAAATGGATTACTGATGAATTCTCAAGATAATTCATTGCTTACAAGTTGACAGCCAGTAAAACATTCCATTGATCTAAAACTTTTACGTTTTAAGGAACCATTTTGCTTAAGCCCGCCAAACGACTCAAATATAAAATTATATTTAAAAGGCACCGATTTTGATAATTGTCATAGATTTTTGTTCCAAATAAATGTTTCTCTTTATTTACCTTTTCGTTTTATTCACTACCACCAATAGGTTTTACTCAAATAATAGTGTTAATTTACACTAGAAGTTTGCACAAGGAGTAAAAGTACCTTTTTAAAATTAAAACTTTTCCAAATTAGTGTTAATTTACACTGAACAAAAGTGGGATTTTACCCAGGAAGTGAAGAAGTACACGATTTTAGGTAAATTAACACTTTTTAATATAGTGTATAGTTACTTTATCCTCAGTGCTATGGTGTTAAATCATACTTGCTTACTTGGGGAAAATTAGACTACAAATTAACTCTTATTGTAGTGTTTTAAAACAACACTATTTAGTGTGGACCTGTGTGAACTCTAATTAGTGTTGCTTAGAGTTGATTTTTTTTTACTTTGTACAAGAAATCTCAGTAAATATGCATTTTACGAAAATAAATAAGTACCAAAATTATTCCCCATACTCTCATCCTTATCGGAAGGGCATGGGGTAACGAATCTGAAATATGTTACATTGGAAATTTTGAAGTTACCCCAAACCGCCTAAATATCTAAAATATTCTAAAGACTTGTTTTAATAAACTTAAAATATTTTTTTTCTCGTAGAAGTTCCAGACCTTGTTTGTCAAGAGTACACGAGTCCACAGCACATCAGCAATATAAACAACAGCACCAGTGGCGTAAGTTTGGGTGCAGCCATGCGCCAGTGCCGTTCGTATTCGCAATCTTTGCGTTCGAAACCTCAGTTGTTGGAGTTCTTACCGCGGCCGCCGCCAGTGCCGCCTCCGCCGGAAGCCTACAGCTACAAGCGCGGCGGCGGAATTTCGGCGTCACTTCCTGTAACGCCTACACTTGTACAAGGAATGAACAGGTGAATGTTAATATATAAAGTGTTAATATATAAAGTATTATAAATTGGATGTTTGTTGAGTTACTCCTAAGTAACACGTTAGGTTTTAATATTGCTGTAACAGTACCGGCCTCTTTTAAAATTACTCCTTAACCCTTAACTAGTCGCGCAGGTGCACTGAGTGCTCCGTTTTTATTAAAACCTCTATAACTTTTTGTCGTTTTCTTGGAATTAAATGCCCTTTCCATGTAACCTATGACTGATGTGTCTACCATGCACTGTCGACGGCATATTTAGTTTAAACTACTAATTTCAAAGTTATCGACAGAAAACTTGAGATTGATTTAGAAATATACTTCACCAAAACGTAACTAAATTTCAATTTTTGCAATGTTAAATATTTCTAAATCAACAAAATATGGAATTTAAAACCTAATGGTTTTTAAGGTATACATTTTTCTAAGAATACACAAATAAAAATAGAATGGCTAAATTTCATTCTGATTTCTTCTTTTCTGAGTAGTAGAAGTAATAACTTTATTTTTTGTTATTTGCTTTTTGTTTCTATTTAAAATAAATATTGTGTTTTAATAAAAATAGAGTTAATTCATCCGAATATAAGCAAAAGTAATATTAAAATTGAAAACATTCAGCTATATAGCCATTTTAAGGAGCGGAGCACTTAGTGCACCGCGCGACCACTTATGTTACAAAAATTGGCGCGAGTTGTTAAGGGTTAAAGCTATTTGTACTTTAATGTGCTGTTACAGCAGACTTAAGGGGTTCTTAAAACCAAAAAGGAGAATCCCAACCCAACCCAACCCAACCCAACTACCTATTTTTAGTCGAATGATCCGAATATGCAATAAAAGTGTTTCATTGGAAATTTTAAAGTATATATATATATACTATAAGGAGGAGAGTATGAGGACCAATTTTAGTACTGATTGATTTCTCCCCTCGAATCATTTAATTTTTATTTTAAACATTTTTTCGTAAAATGCATACTAACTTAAACATTTTAAAGTTTTAAGTTAAATGACTCACCCTTTATATTATAGTTTAATTAATTCATATTAATTTTTTTAGTTCATTTTAACAAATAAAATAAATACAATGTATGAAACTAATTCCTGTAATTGGGCCCTGTGCCTGTTGGGCATAAATAAATAAATAAATAAACATGAGCTTTTTTTATAAAATTATTTTAGCAAAGCATTTTTAAATACAAAAATATGGATTATGGATAAATTAATGGTCATACGCCTTTAAGAGCAGTATCGCCTATTTATTTTATTAAAACAAAAAAAAGTATGTCATAAAACCAATAGGCAGTTAATAAGGTAATAACTAGATAGTTTATTCTAATTTACATTTCTTTTTGAAACAAAGTGGTGCAGGCACCTCATAAAAGTATAACCTATAATTTATTTTCTTATACGGTCTCCCGCGCGCTTTATTTAATAGTGTTTTATTATTACGAATATGACGCTTGAAGCAGTTTTCTGTGACACCTTTTTACTTTTTTATAAAAGTTGCCACTGCTTCTTACTTTAACCCACTTGTCGAATAATGATTACCTCTAATCACAGACCACCAAAACAAATGGTCGGCGCATTGCCTTTCAATAACAATGCTTTGTTTGCGGTCAACGAACGGTCACAGTCTAAGCGTTAAATTGGCTATAGAATTTTATGTTTTCTTCCAGTGACCTATTGCGTACTCCAAAACAGCTGACATATAACAAATATGACAGCTGACTGCAAGCAGTGCCGTGGTGTTAAATAGGGATAGTTTAAAAATAGTTTAATTTAATTGTGATTACTATGAGAGGATAGATTTGGATTTCTTTGGTTTGTTTTTTTTTTACAAACAGTACACTGTCGCACCATTTTTAGTAAAAAATAATGTATTTAAACTCAATAATTAACTAAAACACGATAGAAATACACAAACGAAAACACAACAACAACAAGCTGTCAACCTTTTTATATGCTGTCAACCACAATCCACTAAACGCAAATATGACGAATTTACCAACGTTGTTAATATTAAATTTTAATAATTATTAAATGATTTACTTTCTTTAAATAGAGAAAAATATCTAAAGAAAATGATGAACAAATCCTTTTTAAATTTTTTTTTATTATTCAAACGAATTACTGGTAATTTTAATTGTTCATTATGTTATAATGAACGTCCAAAAAGGCGTGTAATCTATACTTCTGACAACGTTGGAAGCCGTGTTTCTTTCGACGGTGTTTAGAATGTAAAACTATGCTTTACTCGCTTTTTAAACGTAAACAAATCCGTCCATTTGTTTTGGTGGTCTGTGCCTCTAATAGCTGCGTGTGCATGTCGTAATTTGGTTTTAAACCTAAAATGCCTTTTAAAGTAATGCCTTCGAGACCAACTGCTTTTGAGAAACTAGCACAAGGTGTATAATAAAGCAGATTAAAGTATTAGCTGTAAAAAGTACTTACAGCACAAGCAAATAGTCTTAAACGACAGTTTCCTCCAAAAATTTGGTTTTTACTGCTTAAACAAAACATATATGCATACTTTTTAAAAACCCTTAAAACCAATATACTGCCACAAAGCTAAATAGGCCTTATGGGTCTCTTCAGTAAATATGGTTTTATAAGGGTATAAATTACATCCCATAATAAAGCAAAGTTAAAACTTACAAGCGTTATAGGCGTTATGGTTTTAAAAGTGTTTAGTTAAAAGCCAAAAGTCACATGTTTAACTTGGGCCTTCTTCTAGGTCGATTGTAAACTCCCATTACATGCTAACAATGCCTCACCAAGACGTCTACCATCACCGAGAAGACGAACCCCCCATACCAGAATTTCCACGGGAGGACCTCCGCTTCATCGAAAAACTGGGCGAAGGTCATTTCGGCGACCTGCACCTCTGCGAAGTCGACTCCATAGCCACCTCGATGAGTGAGTGTCGGTTCGTGCTAGTGTACACGCTAACCTCAAAAGATGTAACCTCGCAGTTGCTGGGCGACGAGTTCGTGGAGGAGGTTCGAACGCTTTGGAGGTTGAGAGACGCGAACGTGTCGCGAGTGCTGGGCGCCAGTTTTTTGGGGGGCGAGCGGATTTTAGTGCGCGAGTACTCGCCCTCGGGCGATTTGTGCCAATTTTTGCAGGATCACGTCGCGGAGACGGCAACACCGCTAGCTCCGACGGCCAGCACCTTAAGGTCAGAATTTTTATTATTGAAATTATTATTATTTTTTTATTAAAGTTATTCCTCTATCATTTTTGCATTAGATCAAAACCAGGGAGATACTGGATGTCACTGACCTATTCTATATATCATCATTGTTTTTAAAAACAATGATAATATTCATCCAAGCAAAAAAGAAACAGGTATGCGCACAGTGTATTATGTAATCTCACGCAAACTTTTAAACTTATTCAAAATCGGTCAGTAGGTATTCTGTTATCATTGATTACTGACAGTTCGGTTGTTATTGTGGTCTCTGTGGGGCTACATGAACAGTTTAGTGTACCAGAGCGAACTTGACACATTGGAACAACTCCGCGAACTTGTCACTGCAGCGGCAGATGAAATCCGAAATCATCCGGATATGATAGCAAGAGCGACATATCATAATTTTCTACGCCGCTGTCAACTTTGTGTGGATAATAACGGCGGAATAGTAAAACATTTATTATGATTTTGTGGAAGACTTAAAAAAATTGCTACATGAGCATCAATCGACGTGAAAGGTGAAATTTAAAATCGACGGAAAAAACACGGAAATCTCGAAATACCTAACAATAAAAAGTAAATAATGTTTTATTCAAAGTACCTAAAAATAGCTGAGTGTGCAAAACAAAAACAATATTCAACAAAGTAATCAATGATAACCCAAATGTAAATTTTTAATGAATGTAGATTATTGCCCACTGTGCAAACATATTTTTTGTCAGTTGTCATCGGTCAGGAACAATCAATTTTTACTTTACTTGTAAACATTTTAATGATTGTTTTATTAAAAAAAAATTGTACTAATGCAAAAATCCCCTTAAAGGATGACAACCTAATTGGTGACACCCTGTATTATAAACAAATTAAATATAAAACCTAACCGGTTAAGAACTGTATACGAGAGGACTTTTGGATCTACCCTCGTAAAGTTTTACTGTAGGTTTTACTTTCATTATTATCCAGCAGGATTCCCCAGGAAATATGGAATAATTCTTTATGGTTCATAAGAATTTTTTTCAATTATCATACATATCCTAAAAAATAAATAACCTAAATAAAATAAATGTATGTACCCAGTAAACACAACCGTATACGTATACGCGTAAAGGCTCTGTAATGGCCCTTTATAAACGTGCCTTTAATGTACTAAAGGCCCTATAAAGGCTAACTCTAATGGAAATGGACTGGGCTAAAAAAAATCGACTACCTATTTTTTTTGTAAAGTATTTCAAAATTTTGGGTGACAAAAAAAATTATTGTGAAAGTTTGAATCCATAATATTAATATTAAGAGGTCTATCATCGTAATTTTAATTTAACTTTTGATGGAGTGAATTTAGGCAAACATGTTAAGAAATTTTTTTTTAAAGCATTTGATTTCCCATAAGAATATTCATCGGTGTTTTTTTCCGGGTACTGATTTTTACATGGATTACAAAATTCCAAAGTTAAAAGATCAAATTGTAAAACTATACCAATTTTTAAGGCATGATTGTAAGGAAACGTTTCATCTGACGGGAAATTTCAATCAGACCTTTTTTGTAGAGCATTCAATTTTCTTCAAAAAATATTTCCAAACTTTCACAATTATTTTTTTTTGTCACCATAAAACAATATTTTCGATATACTTAACAAAAAAAAAAGACGATTTTTTTTGGCCCAGTCTAATGTACATATTATGTCGCCTTTACCTTTAATGGGCATGTAACGGCAGTCAATAAAGGCACTTACAAGAACCATTCCATTTTTTGATATGGCGCGCTAAAGGTAGTTAACACAGTAGTTATTTGAATAATTTTTAATGGATAAGTGAAGTATATATTATTAGTATATTTATTAGGCAAGGATCTTCCACGATAATCAGAAATTGTTGTCCCTACCGTCACAATACAATTGTTGACAGTCGGGATAAAAAATTTCGATTATTGAGGTATATCTGACCGAATAAATATAAACAAACCACATTTAATCCAACATAATAAATACTTTACTTATCCATTACAATAATTAATATATCATCGTGAAATGTAATACTAAAACATTCATAAATTTACAAGAAAAAACAAAGCAATGTATTTTAATAAAGATCTGTATAAGTAAAACATAAATTTTAAACACTGTTTATTAGGTTATAAATGGAATCCATAATATTTAAATAAATAAAAAAATCCTTAAAATAAATAGAAATTATTTAAAATTAAAATACATATTTACAAATAAGTTAAGTTGATTTTTTTGGTAGATTGTCCTTTATAACAAAGAAAACCAGGTTTTCTTTGCCATTTTTAATTTCTTTTATTCCCAATTGCCCCGATTTTGACCTTATCAATTAAACCTTTCTACTAAATTCTTTGGCGGTATTTTGTCTGTAATAAGAGTTCTAAAGTTTGTAAAATTAAAAATGCACCTACTTACTCATTTAAATTTAATGGTTTTTTAAAGTCCCATTAACTTGATACTGAAAATTTATGGTAAAATATACAAATAATATCCTGAAAAGGGCCATTGCAAGACCTTTTCACGGCAGCATTTTATCAAAATTAATATTTTTATTAAAACATTCCTGTAAAGGCCCAGTACAAGTAAAGCTTTGGCTAAAAATGCCATTATTAAGCCATGAAACTATGTAATGGGCCATTACATAATCATACTGTGTTTGCTGGGTATACCAGGGACTAAAAATAAGAATAAAAAGTTTCAGTGTTTTCGTGTTTTAATTTGACATGTTGTTTTGTGGTAATAATAAAATATATTAAATACAAAGTTTTACGAGTATACCTACATGTTGTTAACAGTTTTAGACTCATTCATTGTTTCATTTAATTAAATTATTAAAATTAAAATATTGTTCTGAAAAATAACTAAATGTGAAAATATATATTATTTTTATTTGATCCAACAAAACGCCACATTTTATATAAAGGCTTAAACATGTACATATTAATACTTTTAGATTTAATTTATATTGATATACACGTTTATAAACGTTTAAATACGCTTTATAAATAAAACGTGTTTATTTCTGCTAAATATTGCTTTCAAATTTTTAAATAGGTAATATTTATAGCCCTGCAGTTATAAATTATGAAATAGAAATAGTAATTTTAATGCATGTTTATAATCAATGTTGGGGTATTTTTTTAATTTGCTAAGATGATTTTTCATTCAAAAATTTTAATTTTAAAATAAAACTTGATAACTTATAATAATAATAATAATAATATTATGTGTTTATTGTGTACCATAATTTACATGAATTGTTTAATTTTGCACTTTTCCATAATTTTATTTTTCGAAAAATTTAAATAAATTTTTTTATATAATATTCAAAACAACCTTTAAATTTACTTGTTAAATGCTGAGGTATAGTATAATTTTTTGTTCGAATGTTTACCATATGAACTGAACTTCGAAGTTTTAATAAATCAAGTAAATATACAGGTTGTTTCGTTCTTCAGAGTTTATGCAAAAAAGTTGAAAATAAAAAATTCTTCATTTGATACAGATTCGTTTGATTTAGTCTATTGAAGGATGGTGTAACATTAGGGTGTCCGTTATTTACCAACTTGGTTTTTTTGTTCGCAGCGCCCCCTAAATGTTTAGTTTATGTCCTAAAAAAATATTAAAAATTAAAAAAAATATTTATATTAAACCGTGCCACAGACAATACATTTTCCATTTAAATAACATCGGAAAGTTTTACATTTATTTATTTTTTTCGAGCAAGTTGATACATATTTTTATAGGAACGCTGTACAAAAAAGCTTTTTTATGATTTTTCGATAAAGTTTAAAGTTTAAAAGTTATTTAAGGTTAAAATTGAACTTATAGTAATTTTTTCGATTTTTTTACTTTGACTGCAAAATTATCATTATTTTTATGAAAATAAATTGTTATTTTTTGAAAATATGTGATTTAAAAAAAAATAAAAATTATTGAAAAAAAGTGAAAATTTACTTAAAACTAACTTCAGTCCGTGACTAAACACCTGTTGCTAACTTCAGCCCGTGACTAAAGCGCCGTAAATCCACAACTTCTCAATGTGTATTTAAAAGGTCACTTAGTATCATGGAAACATGTACGATAAAGGGCGTTTTAAATGTGGAAGTAGAAAAATACATTTAACTTATTTCATAAGGATAATTGGTGTAGCGGAAATGTCTGCATCTCATACTGAATACAACCTATGCGTAACTACGAATTTTATTTTGTCGTAAAAATACTTGTTAAAAGAATTTCTACGTCATTATAATAATATGTATAATGTATAATATTTTATAAAATCGTATAAAATTTTGTAGAATTTCACAGAAAAAAAGATTATGTAAAAAAGTAATCGTACTATTATTGAGTAAAACTAGTACCAGACTCGTTTAATGTAATACAAAAAATTAAATTTATCGGAATACAATAAAATCACATATTTTCAAAAATAAACAATTCATTTTCATAAAAATAATTATAATTTTGCAGTCAAGGTAAAAAAATCAAAAAATAACTATAAGTTTAACTTTAACCTTAAATAACTTTTAAATCAGTGAATTTATGAAAAAATCATAGGAGAGATTTTTTGTACAGCGTTTAATTTCCTATAAGAATATGTGCTCGGGAGAAAAAAATTAAATGTAAAACTTGCAGAAACCCCATGTTTTTTATAATTTTTTTAGTAATATTTTTAGGTCATAAACTAAAAATTTGGGGGCGCTGCGAACAAAAAAAACAATTTGGTATAACATACATATCTAATGCAAGCATTCTGAATACGCTGAAGCTTTTGCCTATTATACATGGTTAAGTTATAGTAATAAGCAGAGCTAGAGTAATTAATGTAAAAGCGATTTGACTAGCATTATTTTTTTTTATCAAGCACATATTTAAGAGTATTTAATGATTTAAGTTTAAAAAATGAAGATTTGTATAAACATACTTTCAATAGTTATTCCAAGGTTTTTTGAATGATTTATCCAATTAATTTTTCATCATTTACAGCCAAATTAAAATTTTAGGGATCCAGATTTTTTCTTATTTTTTCCCTACCAACTAGCAATGTTACGAATTTGTTTGCTCACACACATTCCTTCGCAATATTACGTTTTGTTTTCTCTTTCCAGCTACGGATGCCTTATTTACATGGCCACCCAGATAGCCTCTGGCATGAAATACTTGGAATCGCTTAAATACGTACACAAGGACCTTGCAGCGCGGTGAGTTATTTTCTAATTACTTATACAATGCGGAGCGCCGAACAGGATAACTCATCTCCTTATTACAGGGAATTCCGCACCATCACCGGCGGAATTCCGCAGTTTTAGTTGTATTTTGATGCAGTTTATTCATAATTAAAGCGACACAACAAAAATTCGTTTCAAAATCTGCCTGTTCTAAAACTTCAATGTGGCGCAGTCGGTAGGATTGTATGAAAAGTGTATAAGTGTAAGCAAATTATGGCCACTTGCACCGTTTTCTCTAACTGATCAGTTAACTAAACTGACAAGTTAAAAGGTAACAGGAGATTAGTGTCTAAAATCTTGCATCATGATTTTTTTACTATGGTTTAAAATTTAACTAGTGATCTAGGGAATATGACTAAAAAATGGAAAAGATTGGTGCTAATAACTAACTTTACACTTATTTGTGACGCAAATATATTTTGACGTTAAGAGTTCGATTCTTTATCATCTGTGGTTCGATTCTATTTCATGTACGACCGATTCAGTTGATGGTAAGAGAGAAAAAGGAGGCGCTTCTCAAATTTTTCAGGAAATGAAAAATCATTTAATTAATCTTGTGGATACAAGGGTTTCATTGAAAACAAAGAGACAGATAGAGCTAGAGCAGGAAATTTACAATAAAAAGTATGTAAAAGATGACTCTTTTGGATTCAAAAATTTTAGAAGAAAAAGAAAAACTTAAAATATGTATTATAATAATAAACAGAAGTGACTATTTATTTTATTTTAATTTTAAATAAGTATAAATTAAATAAAACATCAAAAATAATATTCAAATTAAATTTTATAAATTCGCAAAATAATATTGTATTAATTGATTTTGAAACATAATGCGATCTTGAGGATGAGTAACATCAGGATACTCCAGTTCATGGCATTAATATCATCAGGCAATGGCGGCTCTGGTTTATTCATGTCTCTAGCAATATTATGTAGTACAGCTGCAGCTGGAATAATGGACAAAACTGTATCTTGTTTTAATCTAAGTCATATGCCAACACTGGAAACCTTCTTTTCCAATTCCAAATACTCTTTCTATTATATTTCTGGTTCTTAGTAGTGCCTCATTACACTGTTTAAAATATCTGTGGTGTAAAGAGTAATCTTAAAATGGTGTCAAAATCCAACACCAAGTGGTGTTAATATAACACCATGAATTATGTTTGAAAATGTTATATACAGCAAACACGAAAACGGTTTATCTAAAAATATTTGAGAAGTACACCTACACAGAAAAAAAGGAATAGTTTATTTAACTATATTAATTTAGTTTACCCATAGGTATTTATTTTTGTATTTTTTTTTATTTTTATCAACTGTGAGAAGGTTAATATAAACAAAGATTAGTCTGACGGTACTAAACCAGATAGTTATTTTTAAATTGGTTAAATTAACCCAGAAAACTTTAGTGAAACCAACCCGCTGTATGGTTCACTTTACTAAATATGTTGTTTGTAAAATAAAAGTTACTTCAACCTAAAGCACTCTGTTAAAACGATTAAAACAATTTGCCGTGCATTCCCGGTTGCATAGTGTGTACCGATCGCGGCAAAGGCGGTGTGGATCACGTGATGTTTTTAAATCTCGCCTCTGTTGACTTACATGAAGAATATATAAGCTCAGGTAGTCCTTTTCTTTGGTGTGACAGTACAAGTTGTTCGATACTAAAGAGACCTTAAATAGGTGGAAACAGCTGTCAATACTTAGTACTTTAAGTTAGTGGAACGCACTAAAAACATTATCTCTAGCGAGTTGAAGGTTCCATTTTTTGGAATAATACCACTGGTAATATACTAGTCATGCGTCAAGGAACTTGCTTTTTCCTTTTTTTTTTCCTTTTTTCTTAATTTGACTACAAACACATAATATTTAACACTGAAAAGGAGTTAAATTTATTACTGTGTGAAAGTTAAATTTACACTATTTTAGTATTTGAATTTACACCGGGCCAACGAACCATATTTAACACAATTTTGGTTTGTATCGATATAGACCATGTATGGTGTTAAAATGGTCATGAAATTTTGAACAGTGTATAGAGTTACTGACATCTATACCTATACCTAGTTATTGGATTTGCTAAAGATGTCAATAAATAATATCTTCGGAAAAAAATAATATCTTCGGAAATATCGATGACAAGTACTTTTGAGGTTATAAATCGTTAACGGTGGATTAAAGTAATTTAAACTCCCGAAATTGAGGGTTTATTTTAACAGTAGTTTAGAGGTATTTAAACAAGGATTAATTTACGGTGCAAGCCAGTTATGAAAAATAAACCACTGTTAAACTTACGGTGCAAGTGGCCATAAATAATCAAAATATTAACGAAAAACTTACATTTTCAGATAATTGCCCATGGGCAGAGCATTTTATTACGCAATTATTTTTAACCCTAGACGTCCTGGAGCAAAACGAGTGGCATTTTTTAAATCAGCAGCCCAAAATTGGGTAATATAGGTGGGCGTACTCAATGTTAGTAATTCGAACTATCATAGTGTAATTTAAGCGACACAACAAAAATTCGTTTCAAAATCTGCCTGTTCTAAAACTTCGATGTGGCGCAGTCGGTAGGATTGTATGAAAATTGTATTAGTGTAAGCAAATTAGAAAAGAATAACGTCAAATTTATGGTGTATCGACCCGAAGGGAACATTAGTTAGCATTCTCGATTGTAATTATAACACAGGAGGCATAAAATCCATTCTCAATTCCCTGGTAGTACATATTTACGGCACAAGCGGCGCGACAGCTTGTCAGGCAGTTTCTGCGAATGAAAACGGGCTTACGTCTTGATTTCGCCTACATATTTTAATTAGCGCAAGAGCCGACTACAAGCTCAGAAATAATGGAGAACGGTTTTTAGAACGTGACGCGAATTAAACAGACGCATTAAAATAAGTTTTGCGACGCTAAACGCAAACGTTAATCCGATAACGAACGATCCGCTCGACTCGAGCTGTTTTCTTTCTCTTTGTTCTATCACAATAATCCATTAAAATTTACTTTAAAACGTCCACAAAGACTATACAGTGACCAAAAGTATGGAACAAATTCTATCAAATATATGACTTTTTTCCCCAAAACACGTCGATTTTTAATTCTGCACATTTTGATGTATTATTTTCATATTTCTTATCTTAATAGATACATTAGGGTGATTCTAAAAAAGTTGGGCAACTTTTGACCTCATTTTGTTTATATAGTTATCATAGAAAATTAAACAGAATTTTGTTATGAGAACATAGATAATATAATAATATACTGTTCCAGACCGGGCCAGTCACTTTTTCAAACAGTTTCTGAAATATCTGTGTTTTGAATGCAAGGGAAGTGACGAGTATACCAGATACTAATTTATTGGAAAATATAAGATTTATTGCAACTTTGAGCATATTATAAATTAAATATCTTAAAATTAAATAATACCACACAGCAGTGGCGGCTGGTGGATTTTGGGTATACCGACATCTCAATTATTAGATATGGGAGCCACACCAAATTTATATGAGTTTGTAATGACAAGTTCTGCGCAAGCAGAATTTAAATTGAAGTTTGCGAAAAAAAGATAACCGAAACATCGAGCATGGAACTGACGACACGGTACTGATGAATGGGATACAAATTTGAAATTATAATTCGGAATTAAGTATTTTACTGATATTTTTTATTATAATATGATTTGTTGATAAGTAGCATCCACTATAGTGGATGCTACTTATCAACAAATCACATATAGCCTTATATAAATTACAATGAAATATATATATACGTAGGAAAATAACTACTCACCACAGTACTGAAATTTTGACTGGAACTATACGTGGATTCACCACAACTTGGCCGCTTGCATTGTTTTCAAGATGACTGTCGTGCAAAGGGCGGACTCTGTAGGTAACACTTGAGTTAAAACGAGGACTTGACCTTTAAACTTAAACTTAAAAGTGAGTACAAAGATTACCATTTTTTTTTAAATTGCTTTAATTTGAATTTAAGATAAAATATGAAAAATACATTATTTAATGTTTTATGGTTTGTAGTGAAATTGAAAAATTTAAGATAAATTGAATATATTTTAAAATGAAACCACTCAAATATTTGATTCAGGAGTTGTGACACGCCAAGGTACTGATGTTTTGAATATTTATTATGTTTTTCTACAAACGTGCATTTGAAAAAATACATTAAAATTCAGTGGAGAAGTTAAAAAAACCTGGATCTTTTGTAATATACTAAAATATTTACAAAAAATATTAAAATACCTACTCTATTGACTGATGACATCAAGTTGTCCAATTTTTGTAGAATCACCCATTAACCAATTAAGGAACCAATAAGGATTTTTTCTACTCCAGTACCTACAATTTTGACGATCTCCAAAAAAAAAGAGAAAGGTACAATTTAAAAAAATGGCCGGATACCTCAGAGATTCTACAAAAATGGCGGAAAATATAAAAATTGTACATATGCCCTATGCAGAAACGTTGAATTATTTATATCAAATCAAAATTTTAAAATTTAATTGTTGCAGTTCAAGTCCAGATTTTTTACCCTGTGTATTTTTTTTTTTATTAAAAATATTGTTTCAGAGCATATTTTTCATTATTTGACAAATAAATATTTCAAATGATAAAAACAATTTGAACCAAAAATATAAAAACATAGTTTCATACACTGTGCCTGTTTTTGCTTTCTACCTACAGGGTGTTTTTTAGAGTGTAAATTTTCTCTCAGAAGTCCCCTCTACCTTGTTGAGCTCTTTACCCAAAACCTCTATTTCTAAGAGCAAGCACATAATTTAAAAATTTAAAAGCAGAAAATTAGTTAGACATGGTCCTAAATTTAAAAATTTTCGAAAGTATTTAAAAATTAAGACAAATAAGACACAATTTTGGTTTTATTTTATAATCTTTATTATTTATTAAATGGTATTTTTTTAAATTATCCAGGTATAATATTAAAAAGTAAACCTTTATGTTTTTTAATTTAAAAAAATAAATCAATAAATATTTTCACCCAAGTTCAATGTTAGGGGTAATTATTTAACAATGAAACTAAAGAAAGTTATAAATCAATTGATTTCAAGTATTTTGCTTTTTAATCAGATAAAAAAACAACAAAGATATTTAATATAACTAACATGGTAGTAATTTTATCTTTAAAAATGTTATTTTTAAATAATATCCTTATAGGTATGTTTACTTTCTGAATTTATTTTTTCATATATATTTGCAAACAACGACTGATTATATCAACCGATTTACATTTTTGATAATTTTATTGGCCAAAAAACAAATCTAGTAAACCATGACTTATATTAGCGAAATTATTTTCTATGGTTAAAAGCAAATGTCACAAATGTCAAATAAATCTTAATGAAATTTTAATTGTTTTATGTTTAATTTAAAATGTCAATGTAGGTACCTATAGAAATCGACTTTTTTAGGAAAAATATAAACGTTGAAAGATAATTACCCAATTTATTGTATATGCTAAATCAGTTGATATAAACAAATTAACGTTTCTGCAGACGGCCCTAAATGTGCGTAATTATAATAATTATAATTACGCACATTTAGGGCCGTCTGCAGAAACGTTAATTTGTTTATAATAATAATTATTATCCTTCAGAGGTATTTAAAAATTACTCTTTAAAAATTAATTTTTTAAAACCCTGTAGCAAAAAATGTATGCCTTTTAGGAAACATGTCCCCAGGATTGATTTTGTTGGGTTTTATCTGAATGGCGCAAAAGTACTTAATTAATTTCCCAAGGCTAAACATTTATTGTAAATGTCTCAAAAACACAGAACCCTGGTTTAAAATGTCATAAAAAAGGATTAAATTATGTTGCAACGAAAAATAAACATTTTTGAATGAATGGCGCAGTCGGTAGGATTATACGAACAAATTCCAGAATGTGCTGATTATTTTAAACAAAATGTACTCTTTGCAGATTTGTTTCAACGAAACAAATCATTAAAATCTTCAGCTTGACTTAAAGAAAACATTCGAAGAAATTGTAGTGTACGAACGTGTGGAGTTTTCGGCGGCGTTTATTACAACCCAAGAACGTAATGTAGCTAAAGCTGCAAATAATGCTCGAATAAACCCACTGAGTTGTTTGCACGGCCGACTATATCACGATTTCCGTTTTATGATATGCCTAGGTTGCCCTGAAAACGTAAACGCTGATATTAATTATTACTTAAACATTTCACTACATCTAACAATGAAGAATTTATTTTTTGAAAATATTTTAATACTCTCCGTTTTCAATTTAAAAAAATCGAAATAGTGTCAACAAAGACGATGCAGCTATCCTTTAGGTATTAAATTCTGCTGCGGAATCTTCCCGTTTAACACACCAGTAACAAAAGTAATTGTTAGAAATTAAGAAGTTTAATGAAAAAAAAAATTGATAAGAAATGTTGCTTTATGAATCAATTTTTAAAAAAAAATTAACATATATCTACATAAATGAACACAAAAATAACATACACACAATTAAAGGGCCTAGAAGTAAAAGGGATTAAGTGTATTTTTGTTAGTTCTGAGATAAATGGCTTTAAAATTATAGAAAAGAGTTTAAAAAACTGTGTGAATATTTTAGTTTTGTTTAAAGACAAAAAAGGATTATAAAGAAAAAGGAATTTTTTAATTTCGCTTTTTTGTTATATTTTTTACAAAAATGTACTTGAATCGTCATGCATGTAAGACAAAATTTAATGGTAAAATGATTTAAATGCAATTACTGTACTAGAACAAAACTTTATTTTTTAAAATTTGGGTAAGTTTTATAACAAAAAGTATTATTCATAATCAGAATCTAATACAACGTTTTCTTCATCTGAATTAGCTGCTCTTGGTTGGGGTTGATCTAAATTGGATTTTTTTGGCTCAATGCTATGGTTTGTTTTAAAATACTTGTCAAGGCTTTAGCAGCATAGATAATAGCCTATGTTTAGCAGTAAAAGATGCACTTAAATCGTTTTACCAAAGATATATTTTAAAATATTTTGACAGGTTTTTAAAGACAATAAGAAATGGCGCCAGGGAATGTAAAATGTACTTATATAATTTTACAACTAAGTTAGATTATTCTTTAGGTGTGATATTCTGCACTTAGACCATTTATTTAAAAAAGTGCACTTGAACCGTTTTACTTCCAAGCCCCTCAATTAAATAACACACCATTCTGAAATCATTAATTTATAAAGAAATTTGGTACAATATAATTCTGTGGGTAAAAGGATAAGTCAAAAAAAGCAATTTTTCAGTAGAGCCTTAAACGTATTCGCATTAATTCAGGAAACATATTTATGGTTAGCGGGTATACCCTTTTGTTAGCCCATGTCAAATGCTAACAAAAGCGTATACCCGCTAACATAAATATATTTCCTGAATTAATGTTCGCATGCGAACACGTTAAAGGCTCTATTGAAAAATTGCTTTTTTTGACTTATCCCCTTATGCCTTTTACCCACAGAATTATCAGTACCACTACAACTCTTACTGATGTATTTCGTAACTTTAACCCACTTCACTGTATCCATTAATTTTTGAAATTTGAAAACCAGTGATGGCATCTTTTTTCGGATACTTCGCAATTCGCACACTCGTTAAATAGGTATTTCTTATAAAGAATTCGAATAACAATAATAACAGATTTATGGTAATATATTATAAACACTCTGGACAGTTGTTAGGAACACGTTACGAATTAGAATAAAGTTAGCAGAAACATAAGTTGCAAACGCTGAAGTCACTTGAACTTGTTGATGCGTTTTGTCAGTGGGAAATATTTTGATTGACTGCCTGTACTTTTTTAACGAAATATTTTGTTAAACATTAACAAAATAATCTGTAACCAATTTAATTAATTTTGTCTAAAGAGTTTTACTAATATGCCCTTATAAGAGCTCGGTATCATCTAATAACCTAATAAACCTTGGTAACAGGTCCTTTGTATTTTACGCGTTCACTTCCTTCTTTCAGTAAAAAAATTACGATGTTTTTTGCAGGAACTGCTTAGTCGGGAGAAGATACGACATCAAAGTGTCCGATCTCGGAGCCTATAGACAGATGTACAGTGGGGATTACTTCGAAATTGCCGGGTCCCAGCCTTTGCCGATCAGATGGATGGCATGGGAAAGTGTCATTTTAGTGAGTATAAAATCAGTCCTGCCAACCCCTGCTTCACTATCCATATACACATGTCGCGATCCCCAATTTTACGCCTAAACGTTTGATTACAATGCACAGTGAGAATATGTCTCTAAAGTTGACAGAGCAATACTGAAAATTGTTGTTATTAATTAAAGAAAAATATTGTAACGTTTTTACTGCTCGTAGTGTGAATTAAAACACGCACTGGTAAACTAACTAAACACTTAACTACTAATTATTTATATATCATCACTGTACAAGAGTCTATTTATTTGCACGTATATTTATTTATTTCGACGCGAGTACCAAAACTTGACTAACTAACTTTATGCTGCTCCGTTCCTTATATATTCGGCGCCTACGTCTTCTGGAACATTCCAGCGAGCTCCATACTCTCGATTATTCGAGGGCTGACTCACCAGCGATGACTCACCGGCGATGACTCATCGGCGATGAGTCATCACTCCGATATTCAGAGCGGTACTCGCTACAATATCTATAAGAATGTGTGGTGTGGTATAAAATACTTTAAAATATTAAAATAACTTTAAAATATGATTACGAAAAGAAAATATGTTAACCATTGATTGTTTTATTACTATAATTGCAAAATATTATCACAAGTATTAAACTTACACGGGAAATGTAAAAGGTTCAAAAAGTGAAATTCCCGTTATAATTTCTAACTTGGGAATCTACCGGCGTTAACATCCCAATTTTTTGTGTATATCAAAATAAACTTTGAAAAAATATTCACAGTAAAAGAGAAGAGAATGTTATATGGGCACCGTACGCAAATTATTTTAACGCTTTATCAGTTAAATCTAGTTAACTGCACTACCACGGCGAAATCATAAGGTTAGTACAAACGTCCATATAATGTTTTCAAATATTGGCGTCAAGAAACTATTTAATACTTTTGAATTTTTGCATTGAGATAATAAAAAAGATCGACATATTTATTTATATGAATTTCTCCACTGTGCGAAATTTCCATTTGCTTCCTTTTACATTTTCTTTAGAATAGGTTTATTGAAGCACCTTTAATAGATTCTTTGTTTTACAGTTATTATCCTAAGATTTTTCCCTTATAATAAAGGAATTTACGACAAAATAGTTACATTTGCTTTCATTGTAACATTTTTAATATTTACAAAGTTGATAAATTTATTAAAAAGTCAAATTTTTATATCATCACAAAAATAAAGCAATTTTTTAAATTTTTAACAACATAAAATAGATAATCCTAAAAAGAAAGATATTTATAAAATATTGTCAAAAATGGTGTATGCGCCGGGTCAAAATTTACATGTTATGCCACACAGTAAAAAATATTTGTTAATTTTAACTAAATAATGTAATCTGTTGTAACTAATTAAATAAGTAGTGTATGTAACAGACATTTTGTAGATTTAATGACAAAATTTTATATCATTAATTCAAGCATAATTCTTGTTTTTAAAAAACTTAAATGAAAAGAATTTTTATAAGAAATGTTGCTTTATTAATCAATTTCCTAAACAAAAAAAATTAACACATAAATGAACATAAAAATAATATACACACAATTAATAATCAGAATCCACACATTATGATACCATTCTGAAACCATCAAATTATAAAGAAATTTTGTACAATATAATTATCAGCACTAATACAAAACTTACTGATGTATTTCGTAACTTTAACCCACTTCACTGTACCCCTAATTTCAGTTTAAAAATCAGTGATGGCTTTTTTTTCGGATACATATGTACATACTTGTTAAAATAATTACAAACCCTGGTTTTATACAAAAAAATATGTTAAAATTTTATAAAATAAATACAAATCTGATTTTTTAAACAGTGTAGTATTTTCATTTTACAGAAGATAAGCTGTAAAAGCACTCAACTTATTTGATGGAAACTCCTCAATTTTTTTTATTTTAACCAAACTAAATGGTGTATTTATCAACTAACTGCGAAATCTATATTATTACAAAATTCTCACTTTTTTGCTAGAGATACAATTCAGGAATTTAAATCAAAATCGTTCTAATCCCAAATTATAGCATTTAAATTTATTACCATTGTATCCAATATTAAGCAGATGTCTATTAACTTGTAATTTAGTAGTCTGGTATTCGTAGTTTCACCGCTTTTCTTGTAATTACGTTTAAAATACATATTGAATATCTCATTTTGTGGTTGCCAGAATTACATGTGCAGGTTTGCAAGCTTACCGTCTGGATTTCCATCTAATTTATAATTATGAACGATTTTATTATCATTTCTATTATTACTAACAAGAATATGTAATGTAATTTGCAAATGAAATAGTAAAAAATTCTACTATTTGAATTAGTAACAGCATTTTTTACTAATAAAATAGTCGTTTTCACTTTTAAATAGTTATTTTTTACTACTTAAATAGTTAAAGTTTGACTAATTTAAGATTAGTCACTCTTTGACTATTTCTGAGAGTTAAAAGTAACTAATTTCTTTAATCGTTTGCGGCCAACAACAAAGTATTATTTGAATTAAATGCATATAGAGTCATTCCAAATAAAAACACCAAATGGGGTGCGCTTCTTGATTTTTTATTTTCATAAAAAAAATTGAGGTTGATCTTTTAGGTATCAAATATGAAAATCCGTTGCCGTTTTAATTTTTGGATTCTTTATTTTTAATCGGCACCCTTTAGAAATCTGAAATCGTGTCAATTTCTTACTCTCTTATAGTGGGCCCGAACTTTTTTTTGTGACAAATATTAAAATGATTTTAATTTTGTTTTACGGTTCAGTAAGTGTGTTTTTGATATAAATTATTATTATCCAATTAGTTAATCTCATAAAAGAATGGTAAACCACTAAATATTCATGATAATGATAACTTCTCAGAACTTGAATATTTTCTATGAGAAAGAGGTACAAAATTATGATATGTTCTTGCATTTTTAATTGCAATTAAATTCATGAATCTCGAACAATCCGTCATTTATTACACTTGCAAACTTGCAAACTTTTTGAAATCACAATTTAAATAGGTACGCACAAATAATATTTATGAAATATTTTTGACAGTTCTGACATTTCTCTACCAAACATGAATTGACTAAGTCAAAGCCATCTAAATTTTAAATTATAAATAAAACTAAAATATCGCTTTTTAACTGCATTAAAAAAATTATTATATCTTTTACATGGATAAAAATAACAAAACAAGACTAACTAGACTGAAAAGATGAAGGTGGGGACTACATTTCCTTAAAGTTTCAGATTTTTATTTTTTCCTCAACATAATGATTTCTGAGGTCAAAATTGGCTAATTTTGAAAATTATCAAGTTTCAATAATTTTTTTAATAAAGAAAATGATAGTTTAGAAACTTAAAATAATAGTTAAGTGTTCTATTCTATAAGTACTTGATACCTGAAAAAAAGCAACTTTCTGATTTAGCAGAATAGGCACAGAAGCCAGACAAAAATCACAAAAATTAGCAAATTATTACAAATCTTTAGTGGTTTACCATTCTTTTATGAGATGAACTAATTAGATAATAATAATTAATATTTAAAACATACTTACTAGGCAGTAAAATAAAATTACAATCATTTCAATAATTGCCACAGAAAAAAAGTTTTAGCCTCTTATAATAGTAAGATAGGAGTAATAGGAGTAAGAAAATGACACGATTTCAGGTTTCTAAAGGGTGCCGATTAAAAATAAAGCAACTAAAAATTAAAACGGCAACTGTTTTTCATATATGATACCTAAAAGATCATCCTCAAATTTTTTCATTAAAATAAAAAATCATGCAGCGCACTTTTAAATTTATTTTTGGTGTTTTTATTTGGATTGACTCTATAGGCTCCATGGTTAAATTGACCATAAAAAAACAAAGCTGCAAAAAGTTTAGCTCAAAACAGCAACACAAATAATATACTTAACTTTAAAATATTATTAACAATATTTATTGACAAATAAAATTGATTTTTATAAGAGCGTCTGATAGCCGAATGGGTTATGACAACAGCTTGACAAGTGACAGACCTGAGTTCAATCCCCGGCTGGGTCAAAACTTTTTTAAATTTGAATCTACTAATTTGACTATTTCATTCAGTAGAATTTGACTAATTATTAGTGACTGCTTTTTCGCTATGACAATTAGTCAAATATGACTTATAATTAGTTATTTTTGACTAATTCATTTTTTATTTTAAAACATGTTTGCTTTACTTTCATAAAGTAATTCTACTTTTTAGGATTTTTCTTGACATTTATTTTATCCCAAAATAGCTTTATCCAATTTTATTTTTTTTTTCAGGGGAAATTCAGCAGCAAGAGTGACGTATGGTCGTATGCTGTCTTGCTGTGGGAAATATTGACTTTTGCTCGCGAGCAGCCTTTCGAAGAGTTCAACGACGATAAAATTATAGAAAATGTCACTCATTTTTGCCAGAACGACGGAGAACACGTACGTATTCACCTCTGTCTGCATAAAGGCATATTTTTATTTCGCTATGATAGTTTTAGAAACCTTTTTTTCCTAACATTAAGTGCTCCAGCTTAGTTTAACTAATTTTGGTCATTAGTTTTTCTCTAGGACGTCTAGGATTTAAAATAATTTCGTAATAAAATGCTCTGCTCAATCACCTTAAAGTGTAAGTTTTTTGTTATTATTTTAATTATTTATTAAATTATTTTGGCTTAAATTTATCTTGAATGTACTAAAGTAATTGGTATACGACAAATATATCATATTTATCTTAACAATATGACATTTTAAATACTAAAACTAAAATTTAATGTAAAAAAAACAACATTATTTGTCGTTTTAATTTTAATTATTAAATTGAAAGGGCAACAAAGTAAAAGAGTTTCAGTATTTTTTATCCAAATTAGGCCCAAAAATTTATTGCACTGCATAATTTTGCTTTTTTCTACCTTAAATTTATTAAATCGTATCAAATATCGAATTGGAATATAGTATTATTGTGCTTAATCCTCATCATCGTCGTACATCTTATGCTGCAAATTCCAGCAAATGTCTCCTAGCAATGAATCCAACTTCTTTCCACTATAACCATAGATACCTACCAATGCTTTAGATTTGCAGTTACTTGGTGAAATCGTTCTCCATGTTCATCAGTTCGGCAAATTTATCGGGATGAAAAAAAAAAGAAAATGTATTTAAAATGACATATTAACGCTAATTCTTTACAAAACGGAGAGCATTTTTTCAATGAATTGGCGCCAATTTTAGGCCCGATATGAACCAAGAACAGTTTCAATGACAGCTTTAACACTGCCATATGCGACAAGCTCATCAACTTTGAGAGCATTTTTGAAAGCTTGATCTTTCATTAATATATCAGGTCCATTTAATATTCCTGCAAAATTAAAGTAGTTGGTATATCTCATAAAATTTTGTTGGGCGTAAAGGTAGTACCTTTACGCCCAACAAAATTTTATGAGGTACCGCAACAAAAACAAAACAAATTTACAACGACGACATAAATGTTCGTCTCCTTTATCTGCCACTTCCATTACCACTTCCATTTTTGGTTTTTAAAATCACTTTCAAGTAAAAATACAATTTAAAGTTTAAATTTTAAATGTCAATAATTAATAGATGCACTTTAATGTGCTTGAACGATTAAGTAGATAAAGGCGCCTTTATACTTCAATTTGATATTAAATTTTGATAAGACTTAATAAATAAGATTGCAAATTTAATTTTTGGGTAAGATTGGAAATTCAATTTTTGCAGAAAAGTGCTTTATTAAATATCCCTTATATAATAATATTATATAAGGGATATTTATATTATATAATACTAGATATAGTATACGGCTACAATGGAACAAAAAAAATTTCTATTTGACATTTATCTACCGATGACTTGTATGGAGCCCCTGTATATTTTTAACAAAAAACGTCAAAAATATACTGAACATCCAAAATAGATTTAAGGCAAAATAATTTAATATTCAAAATATTAACAAAAAACTTACATTTTGAGATTATTATGCAATTATTTCGGATCCTAGACGTCCTGGAGCAAAACGAGTGGCAGTTTTGAAATCAGCAGCCCTCACTCACTCAATGTTAGTAATTCGAACTACCCTAGTGTTATTTTTTATTTCTTACTTTTAGGTTATGTTGGACTGTCCGCACAACTGCCCCAAAGAGATCTTCGATCTGCTGTACGAGTGCTGGCAGCGCAACGAAATCGACAGGCCGAACTTCCGCGAGATTCACTTGTTTTTGCAACGGAAAAACCTGGGCTACAACCCAGACCTGCACTGACATCAACTCAATGGGATGATGGAGAAACTACTCGACAATAAAATTGAGGAAATACGTGATATTTTTCATTGCTTAAATCGATCGTCAAAGCCATTCTAAAAAAAGTTTTTTACATGATAAACATTTTTAATGTAAGGAATTTCCGCAAAGTTCAAAAGACAATTTGCGAAAATTCTCTATATGCATACGAATTACAAATACAAAACAATATAGATATAAAATAATGATGGTTTAGATATAATGTAAATATCAAGTTTATACATGTTTATCGCACATTTAAAAATAATAATTGTATAAAATTGTTATTGCTTTTTGTAGATAATAAAGTTTATATGCATTTTTAATGCTTGATTGCCCGCTTTTGTGCCTTTTTTAAATTTTCAAACTCTTCTATCTAAAATTGTTTTTACTAATCAATTATGATTACAGTGTGGAGATGCAAAGATTCTTATAATTTTTTACGATTATGCATTGACAAAAGTTGAACCTTGATTTTATTTTAATTTTGACTTAGCTGAAAACAATATTTTAATATTATTTTATACATTAGTCAGAATGTAAAATTCCTAAAAAAATACGGTTTAGGTACTTTTTCTACTTTAAACCAAAATGAAGAGTAAAAACAAGGCAAGATCAAAAAAATAATCTTACCTAATTATGTAACTGAATATATACAGGGTGCACCAAGTATCCTTCTATGTTAAAAGGCTAAAAGATGGGTTAAATTGGAAATAAAAAGAAAATGTAAATGTAAAGAAAACTATTTTTTACCTGTTACTTTAACCGGTTTACTGTAAAATGCAAAAATACTGTATAATATACAGGTCTAAATATAATGAATTAAATAAAGATTGCAGTAAAGTAAAATGTACTTAGGAGTAAAATTAAGGCTTGAAACTTTAGGATTTTTTTTTCTTTATATGTACGAGGTGTGTTCAGAAAATATCGTGAATTTTCGTTTTTTTGAAAAAAATATTTATTTATTCGTCTACATTAATGTTGTCGCCTTCAAAATAGTCCCCATTGGATATTATGCACATGTGGCAGCTCTTCTTCCAATACTCGAAACACTTCTAAAACTCGATCTTTGGGATAGCCTTTAGTTCTTTCAGCGATGCGCTTTTAAGGTCATCTATGCTTGCAAAACGACGGCCCTTTAAGGTTCTCTTTATTTTTGGGAATAGGAAAAAGTCAGACAGAATCATGTCTGGCGAATATGGAGGCTGGGGCATCATTACAGTATTGTTTTTGGCCAAAAATTTTGTTCAAAATTTAACAATTTTAGAACAAATTTTGCTGCCAAAACATTCGAAAAAATTTCATGGGATGAGCCAATCGATATACCAACATCATCAGCGACTTCCCTGATGGTTTATAACCATTTCTTCCACTTTTTCCATGTTTTTATCGGTTGTTAATGTGCTTGTGCGTTCGGGGCGTTCGTCATCTTCAACGTCTTCTCGGCCATCTTGGAAACTCTTATACCACTTGTAAACTCTTGTTTTACTTATAGCAGACTCACTATAGGCCTTTGTTAACATTTCATAGAATTTATTTCATTTTTTAAGCAAAATTGGATACAAATTCTTTGATCCATTTCTTTTAACGAACGAAAAATCGCCGAGCTCATGAAACACGTCTAACCTTAGCGGCTGCCACAGACAAAGTAAACAATGAAAACAGCTAAAGTTTTTATCATACTTCGGGGGCATGTATACCAACATAATAAAGAAAATTTTATGACAACCGGACCCTCCGAACCCGCGAAATTTAACAATTCCCGTTATTTTCTGAACACACCTCGTATATCAATATTTTGGTGCACCATGTATATTATCAAGTTTTTTAATGAGGGTACTATATCCCCAACACCCTGAATAATTTATTAAAAATATTTCCAAAAAACTATTTAACCATTTAAGTATGTATTGAATGGCGCAGTCGGTAGGATTATTATTAATTTAGCATCCTTTTTCAGGTTCAGTCTTAAAAAAAAAATTTGGTGCATTTTTTTGTCTATTTGTATATTTAATTATTGTAAAAACTTTTCTTGAACATTATTTTTGTACATAAAATTAAAGCTGGTTCCCTTAGGCCTAAAATTGTACTTTTAACTCAAAAGTTTGTAAAAATTTGTAGAAAAGTTAATTTTTTTGTAGTAACATTCCTTTAAACTACCAAATCATACTAATAAAACTAACATGTAGAAATATAGTTATTTTTATTTTTAATTGATACAATTTAACTATGAAATTTATACACAAAAAATATAAAGACAAAATCAGATACATAACCTCAATTATTTGTAATCAAATGTCAAGGTGGCGAAGGTTGTGAAGCATAATATTATTACATACGTAACAAACCTATCATAAAACAAAATAATAAATTACTCATAACCAATTAAATCTGTTTTTACTGACTGATGATATAGTGCAAATTGTTATTATTTGTAGTAATATTAATTCATACCAAAAACTTTAATGTATATTTATATTTAGGTTGTAAATATGTACCAAATATTATATAGCTTGTGTTTTTGTACATAACGTATTATATTATACACTAAATTTGTTGATACTGGTAAATTGGACCAACGAAATAAATATTTAAAAAGTAAAAATTGTGTGTTTGATTTTGGATAAAACTAAATCTACACCTGAAACCTGATGTAACTAATAATGAGAAGAGGTTTCGAAACAAAGAACCATTTCCCTGCTTAAAAGTACGTTAATATTATTAAGTAAAGTTAAATAAGTCCTCAGACTAACGATTTGTTACAATTACGGGCATCTGAGGGAGGCGAGTATGTGTGTTGTGGGGTATATAATGGGAAAAGAATCCCTTTATGTGGACGACGCCTCGTGTAACTCTTTAATTGCCGTCCAGAAAGAAAATAAATCAATTACGTGAAAGGACTGATAACCCAATTACGGAAATAGTGGTGTCTGGCCGAGAGAGAAAAGTGGGTGGATGATGGCACTCGAAGAGTCAGTGGAATCCCATTACCGGAATATTTTAAGATTTCCTACTTCTATTACCTTAAATTGGAGTTATTAAAGTTACTAGTAAAATCTTTTCAGAGTTCAGAATTAATTTAAACCCAGACTACACTTAATAAATATAACAAAAAAGGAGTTCGTCCAACGGCAAAAAGTTAATTTTTGTTTGTTTATTTTTATTTGTTCCAAAAAACAGTTCTATACCGTTTACAAAAACGTTTTGTAGTATTAATGAAATCCTAATGGTATTATTCATAGAAATTAATTAATTAATTGTAAATTCAATAAACTATTTTCATTGTAACAATGGTCACATTTTCAACCTACTGTTGGGTGTTGGGTATATTTTTTTTAAAAATTGCAAGGCATAAAAACAAATTATTTATTATAACAAAAAAATTAACTCATATTATATGATGTACAAAATAAAGAAAATATGAACTCACTTTTTAAACAACAAGTCTGCTTCGTTTATAGTATAGACCTTAAATATTTCTTTTAGAAAACGTCTACATTTTAATTTTCTTAGTGATCTTTTTGATATTTGTATCATGCTAGATTTTACCACACTTCACTCACAAGTGAAATCAATAAGATTATAACACAGACTGTGGATTATAAAGTTATGTTCGCCAAGGAGAGCGTTGGCCCTTCCCCCCTCATTTTAAAGGAAATAACAAAAATGTTGTTACCATTGCAAAACAATAGTATATATTAAAAAAGACTTTTTATAGCAATACAATATTTTTGTTATTGTTCTTAACGTAAGCTGTTAACAAAGATTTTCTTATTTTTATCCATGTAAAAGATATAATAATTTTTTTAATGCAGTTAAGAATATTGGGATATTGTTAATTTAAAATTTAGATGACTTTGACTTAGTCAATTCATGTTTGGTAGAGAAATGTCAGAACTGTCAAAAATATTATAAATAAACCCCTTTATTTTAATATGTTTTATTTAAACCTATAGGTTGTATACAATAACATTTAAAATTTTTAACTATTCAGTGCCTTACTAAAGGGATCAAAATAATAGAACAAGACTAACTTCGTGAAAGAAACCTACAAAAAACTGCTTAACGCATTTTTTATACGTTTAAATTAACTCCTTATTAATTTCACTTATTGTACTTTACGATATAAATAAAGATAAATAAAGATCTTGAATATATTTTTTACATTCTTCTTTAAACACCAATTAGCCAATTAAATACTTCATTATAATGTATTTAATATATAATCATATATATATATATATATATATATATATATATAATATATATATGATTATACAATACATTAAATATAAATATTTCATAATTATTATTTGTGGTATTTCTTTGGTGATTTTAAAAAGTTTTGTATATAACATAATATGACATATTACGTTATATACAAAATTTACCAAAGAAATACGCACAAATAATATTTATGAAATATTTTTGACAGTTCTGACACTTCTCCACCAAACATGAAAGCCATCTAAATTTTAAATTATAAGTAAAACTAACAATTTCGCTACTAAACGGGCATTAAAAAAATTAATATATCTTTTAAAGGAATAAAAATAACAAAACAAGACTAACTGGACTAAAAAGATGAAGGTGGGGACTACATTTCCTGAAAGTTTCGGATTTTTATTTTTTCCTCTACATAATGATTTCTAAAGGGGAAAATTGACTAATTTTAAGAATTATCAAGTTTCAATATTTTTTTAATAAAGAAAATGATAGTCTAGGAACGTTTTCTATTGTATAAGTACTTGATACCTGAAAAAAATAACTTTCTAGATTTAGTAGAATAGGCACAGGAGCCAGACAAAAATCACAAAAATTGGCAAATTATCATGAATCTTTGGTGGTTTACCATTCTTTTATGAGATTAACTAATTGGATAATAATAATTTATATCGAAAACACTTACTGAACAGTAAAATAAAATTAAAATCATTTCAGATTTCTAAAGGGTGACTATTGAAAGTAAAGAATCCAAAAAT